GATAAAATCATTAAAATTAGCTTGTCTCTTAATCAAGGTAGTGATAATAAAATCTGCAAAAGTGAAGTGTAGAACTTGAGCACTTTTGGCAGATGTCTACGTGAAGATGAAGATAAATTAAGATCCAACAAGAAATGATTAAAACTGAATGGATGTAAAGATGCATGGCCAACATTTTTTTTCTATTTGCGTTAGTCCCACAGTATTGAAAGAATAGTTCTGGATACCAAAAGAAAAGGAAATTTCTAGAGCACTTAAGAGTGATAGATGCCAATACATGCAATGGGCATGGGATTTGAAAGACTTGCCCAACATCTGAATACCTGTTACCAGCAGGTGAAAGAATAAATGCTATTAGATAAACTTCAGCAACAAGCCTGAGAGGAAAATATTTGGAATTAAGAGACAGGACAAAGTGTCATCTTGAGATATATAGGCTCTGTACAGCTATACAGAAATATTCAGGTAGTCATCATGTATAGATATAGTTCATGCCTTTAAAAGATGACAATTTATGCTGAGAATATACAATAATAGGAAGGAGAAAGAGAGGTGGAGAAGATCTAAAATTCTTAGTTTTTTTCAATGCAATACAACTTCCAGAAACAACAGAAACTTGTTGCATCTGATCATATCAAATGATATGACTTAAAAAAAGGTTTGTATTAAATTTTAGAATAAAACCTAATATTTGACTTTTCATAAGCCATAAAAAATGAATCTATTATATTGAACATAACTTTTTGTAAACTCATTTTAGGACAGTTTTTATATCATAATTTAGCTGTAATTCAAAAATACTATCAAGCAATTTGTTTCAGCTGTAAACCACTAGAAATCTTTTCAAAAGATAAACAGTACAGACTTTTAGGGTTTTTAAGGAAAGTTACTTTCAATAAAATATTGTTATTTATGTATACATTTGTATTGTTCCCCTTAAATGTCAAATTCTCCAATTATTGTACAAGACCATGTCAATGAAATAATATAAAATTGTTATTTATAAAAAACTTAGGCATATGATAACCAAAATTAACTGGGCTTTTTCTTTTTATAATTTTTATAAAAAAAATAAAATTTATAAAACTTAAAATATTTCTGGAATATGACAATTAAAAAAACTGTTACCTCTACAACTACTAAATCAAGAATAAAATACTACAGCTTACAATATCAATTCATATATGATAAAGGTACAAACGAGTAACTGTTCCAAGAAAATTAACCCTATTTGTAATAGTTCCTTTAGAAAAGGAGTGTTGACATGTGAAAAGCTTAAAAAGTTATTTGGATTGCACCTCAAGGTACAATGGAACAGATGACTAATGGAGCTCTTAGAAATGGACAATTTATTCTCCAGGATGTCACACATAAGCAATCATTTTTCTAAAGCCTTGTTTCTGCACTCAACTAAGCCAAACACTCAAAACATTGAAACAATCCAAAAGATGCAAATAACTCTGCAGTTTGAAACAAAAAGGAAATGCTTAAACATTCAAGTAAAATTAAAAAAGTAAAACAACAACAGCAGTGCTCAAACGAGCCTTTTCATATTGCTGGTTATTACCAATTCAAGATAGTAAATTCAACTGCTTTCACATAAGTTTAGAAAATTTAATTTCCTTCTATTTTTTCTTCTAATATACTTAATTTAAAACTTTATGCTAGAAGAGGTAAAACAAAAAAAAAAAAAAAGAAGATAGGTGGGAGGCATACATTGCCAATTTTCAGACATCCTAGTGTATTCTTAAGCCAAGAGAAGTAGACCGGTTATAGAATATTGGATTGAAGGCCACAAAGTCTGAGGTCGAATCACCACCAGTATAAAACGAGTGAGCACTAGAAATAACTCACTTAAAAAGAACGCTTTGACAAAATGCAATGTCAAACCAGCTCTGGAATTGCCAAGGATAATCATGGAATTGTGCAGCTTTTTATAAAACTGAAAGAAGCCATGGAGGCCCATAATCAAATAATGTCCTACAAAGAATATAACACATGTAATGTGTATATTCCTTGACAACCACCTTTTGCATATACAACACATGAACACTGGAGTGAAGAGTGTTAGTGGATACAAGTTATTTGTCAGCCCTGACACTGTTTTAAGGCAACCAAAATTGAAGAGATGGCCCAAATGCAAGCCAACAAGGGGCACTAGAGAATGTCTGTAACGCTGACTGGCCTTCCTTTGACAATTCCAAAAGTAAAAGATTAAAAACAAGTTTTGATGAATAAAGAGTGAAATAATATGGCTGATCCTCAGATTGATATTACAAGAAATTACAAGGCTGACTCCATCTATAATTCACCTCCTTGTACTTTTTATGCATATACAGTATAATAAAATAGATATAAACAATGTACATACATATGGCAAAAAAATAAATAAGTAAAAAGGGTTTAATTTTCTGTCACACACACACGTGTGTGTGTGTATATATATATATATATATATATATATATATATATAGCTATTCTGCCATGTTCTGGGAAGTGGAGTGATCATTTATAAAACTTAATGCTGAGGCTTATTGGAAGAGCTAACCCAGCATCTTGATTAACATACACCTTAATATCAGCAGCTGAGATAAAAAAAAAAAAAAAAAGAACTATATAAAGAGACGACATATAAACTATTTTGATTATTTCCGCTTTGTTTTTAAATAATAAAAAAACTTTTAAAAAATATACAAAATGTTGACAAAGTTTGTGGAATTCAATAATTGATCAATAGCCATGGGCCATGAATAAACATGTAACACAAAATAAATATAAATTATTAGAAAATTTTTAAAAAGTCTGTTATAAACTGAAATTAAGTTATGTAAGTAACAGAATATTGTACTGGAAGTGAAAGAGGAAGAAATTTAAAGTAATAACAAAAAGAAAGCATACATTAAATAAAATAAAAAAAATTAGTTTTTTTGTTTTTTTTTCTGTTTTTTTTTTCTTTTTTGCTTTGTTTTTTTTTTTTCAGTAAGTGCCACTTCAGCAGAGCTGGACAAGTGAGAGTTGATAATATAAATAGATCGGTCAATTGGTCGACAATAATTACAAGAAGGGGTGAAAGGTCATCATTGTTTAACATAGCAGCCCAGCTACAGTATCACATATACAGAAGCAGAAATAGCTGCATTGCTGTGTTAGTATTATTACAAGTTGTAGGCATTGGTCTGTTTGACAAAATCCGACTAGATATGGAGAAGCTAACAAGGGATACTGCACTGGAAAAAGCAGAGCAGATTCACAAAATTTCCATGTCACCTGCCCAACATGTACCCCTCCAGGGAGACAGATTGGGACAATTGACAGTGGAATTGCCAAGTAGTGTCTCTCTCTCTCTCTCTCTCCTCCAATTTATCTTAAAGAGATGTATGAAGCTAGCACACACTGTAGCCAACAGCCTCAATGGTGATTCTGGTGATGTTCATGAGGATGATGACAATATCAGCTACATTTAATTCCAAGTAGCAGCTACAGAACAACAGAATAGCCAAGAAAAATACTCGCAATTTTTTTTCTACCCCCCACCCACCTTATTTTTTATTTTATTTTTTTTTTTCAAGGTGTGAGCATCCAAAGGAAAGATTGTTTGAAAATTTGTTCATTCAAAGATTGTCTTTTTATTTCTCCATTTATGTGTGTGTGTGTATGAAAATTGTTTTATCATTTTGTTCACATATAAAGATTGGACTGTCCAGTCCAATAAGATAGAGGTACATACTTTTTTTTTTTTTGGTAATTTTCTCTCTCTCACATAACCGCCCACCCACCCCACACACACACACACACACACACACACCAACACGGCAGATAAGACTTGTGGCCCCAACTATATGGCTCGAGCAAATTCTAGATATTAAAAAAAAAAAGTTTTCCCACCAAATAATTGGCCATCTTCAAGAGAAACAATAAGAAACAGCATTAGGCAGCAACACAGGAGAAAAAAAATGTGTGGGTGTCTATATTTTACAAAGTTGGAGAAAGGATGGAAATCAAAAATAGGTAAAAATTTGTATCTAACAGGAAATTTATCATACTGTTGCAAAGTAGTATGTATTGAGTGACTGATGCAGGGCAGTTCAGTAAAGAACAGTAAGAAGAATTGGGAGAGTTCTATTTGTTTTCCTCATGATACATACATCAATTTAAAAAAAAAACAAAAAAAACAACACATGTAGACACCTCACACAGATTACTCAAGGGAGTTAAGCATATTAATTCACTCCCTATTCTGAAGGCCAGACAACTGTAGTAGTAAAATTTAAGCATTTTAGAATTATTTATAATAGAAGTAGAATTTTTAATAATAGTAATCTGAGTTGTGTTGGTTGTCAGTGTTGATGACAGTTTGAGACTCCACTGATTGCAGCTTGCAAAACATGGCTGCCAGCACATTTCTACAGAGCAATGGCAGCAGCAGGAAGAGTCAAAATGTTAAGACTGCTGCAAGATGAAGATTATATATATATATATATATATATATATATATATATATTATTAACTGCAGAAGTCATTCATGGAACTCAAAGGCAGTAGTAGTAATAAGTAGTTGAAACTGCTGTCAAAATAGGCTGCAGTCGCTACTGCTAAAATAAGTTCCTGACACTTTCTGGTTTGTTTTTTTTTGTTTTTTTTGGGGGGAGGGTGGAGTTCACAAGGCAGCAGCAGTAATAGTAATTATAGCTGGTAATGTTACTAGTATGCCAAAAAGACCAAAAATAATCTGTCTAAATACTAGCAACCCTTGGAAGTTATAAATGGGTGTAATGGGGATATCATTATTATGTTAAAGTGACAGTAGAAATAAGTATTTTTTTTTTGTTAAGATAGTGTGGTAATAGTATTTATTGTAGCTGTTATTGTAGTAATTTTACTTGAGGTGGTTTATGACATGAAAACTTGTGTAGTTGTTTTCTCTAAACATTTGGCGGAAAACTTCCCAATTTTATTTTATTTTTTACTGTAATAACCATACATATGGTCACTAGTCAGTATCATGTGTCGGCAGTGGCCAGTGGAGATTTAGAGCCTTTTGCACCTTCCTTTTGTGACTGTGCACGTTTTATGTAGAGTTTCAGCAATTTCATCTAAAATAAAAATAAAAAAATTTATATAAAATACCAATTTACCAAAAATTTAGCACAATATTTTTTAATAAAACAGAATTGTCAGAATTTAACAAAGTCATTCAACTTTAAAAAATAAAAATAACAAACTTACAAGTACGAAACAAAAACAAGTATTACCTTACTATAGTTCAGCTCACTCAAATAGGGTCGCAAATTGTCACCAACTGTCATGTAAATGGACACCAAGCAGAATACACTAGCCTTGCGAACTGTACTCTCAGAATCATCATAGCTCTAAAAAAGACAATATAAAAATATCAGTAGTTTTAACACAATAGTTAACAGACTAGTCTCACCATGTTTCATAGTAAATTCAATAGTCACTGTGTGCCTCGTTAAAATTTCCTTTTACTACTAGACTGAACTAAAGTAAATATATGCACTTAAAATTTGTCAATTCTAGTGAGAAGTTCTGAAGATTTTCTGGAATTAAACCTGTACACTGTTTTGAAGAGTTTGTGTATAGCTTGATAGTTACATAACCAATGATTTACAAAAATTAAGATATTTAACAGAACACCCAAATACGGCACAAGGCCTTTGTAAAGTGAGGTCCATGTATATAAGGGACCAGATTTACAAAATAGTCTATTAGTGTTATTTGCTCTGAAGGTCAAAAAGTGGTAATCTGTCAGTTTTATATATAAAATGGCAAATATAATTGTAAATTAAAAATTGTAAAATCAAAACTATTATTTACATCAAGAATGGTAAAAAAAAAAAACAAAAAAAAAAAACTAAAAATATGTGCCAGAAATTAGTTATTTTAAGATACATTGCTAACCTTTGGAAAAAAATAAATACTTGACTTTTCACTACCTACTCTTTATATACAAAATCATGTAAGAGACAAATATTAATAATTTTTGCTAAACTATAATTGCTTTTCTTTTAATGAGAAAAATAAGAAACAGAGATAAAATTATTTTCTAATACACATAGCTATTTTTTAAATATTAGTAGTTATTATATACAATCCTGTCTTTTTATATCATTTTAAGCATTCTCCCCTATATGTCAATGTTAAAATTCCAATCCATAATGAAACAAATTCACATTTCAACAAAATATACACACATATATATAATCAAACAAAAATTAACAAATAACTTAAACCTCTATCCAAAAATAACTTTTATGAAGCAAAATTCAATATGGAATTCTAGTCTTGTTAACACCTAAATTTCCAAGAGAAAGAAATGTGAAATAGTATGATAGGTAAAACATTTTACAAGCTAAAATTTGAAATTAAGCTTGATAAAATAATTATACGAGTTAAACAAATACTATTCATGCAAATATTAAAAATGTAAAATTTCTTGATTTCAATGTATTTTAAAATTCTGATTTGGAACATAAATTCATAAACAATGTGCTAATTAATGCCCCCCCCCCACTCAAAAAATTTTTTTTTTGAAATGCATACTTTCAGTAAACCAGGAACAATTTCTTGTAGTGAATTTTCTAACTCTTCTTTTGGAAGAAGTTCTATAACCTGAAAATGGAAAAATAAAACAAAAAACATTACTTACATATATTGGGATTCTTTTCATTTTATTTGATATATACATCTACTAAAAACAAAACTGATTTTGAAAAGTTTCATGTTGAAAGCCAAACAAATACATAAATCTACATTATAATGCTCATTTTTCCCTCCCTTCCAAATTGTTTTTTAAAATGTTATTAAATTATGGATAATAATGCTATTAAAAAGTTATAAGTGTATTTAGATTAACAAAATTAGCATTTTCACAAAAATAAATTTTAGCATATTTATAATCATCATATACAGGTTAGTGCTTTTTATACAAAAAAAAAAAAAAAAAAAAGTAATGCATAAATCAATCATAGAACGTTAAATATCCTGTTAGAAGAAAGTTAATATTGTCAGAATAGGCTACTGTAGTTATTTCCCTTACATTTAAAATAGCCATTGATTTTATATATAAAGTTGTTGCCTCAGTCTGTTTGTTATCGAACTCCTCCTAGGGTTTTGGAGATAGACCACCATAACCATCAATTCATTCAATCAAATATCGCATCAAATATATATCAAATGTGTCAGATCAAGCTGTTTTTACACATAACACCCCACTAACAATTTTTTCCCTTTGATTTAAATTAAATTTTAATTTAAACAAGGGAATGACTCCTATTCAAAATAAAAGAAGAAAGTTAGATGGAGGTCACATCAGCAAGATCATTGACTAATACTGAAATGCATAATTTTTCTCCCCAAACTATAACAATGATTTAAAATCACTCATCATTTTCTTACAAAAAAAAATGTGTGATATGCAGCAAGGTGCAGGTAATTCAGATAATTAATATCTGAAATTCAAGAAATTGAAACTCTTAAACAAAACCGTCTAAAACGAATTTTAACTATAAAAATATAAATGAAAATCATTTAAATGTTTTAAATTATCACAGATCTAAAGTCATTTTGAAAAATAGCAGTAGAAAATAAATATAAATGCAATTGGCATATTACAACAACACTTAAAAATACACTAATTTCTTTAAATATAGTGAATGAAGAAAAAAACAAACACATAAACAGGAAAGTTTATTTCCCCAAACCTATAATGCCTCCTTTTTTAAATGCAATATTTGTATATTAATTATAGCAAGTCAGTTTGGACTAAGTTTGTTGTTTCAATTTTGTCCATAATATTTCAGATATGCACCCTCCAGTATTTCTCAAACATGCCAAATAGTGCTCTGAAAGGGCAGGTGCTTTCCTTTTCATGTACCTCTGTGTTTTCTCCTGTCCTGTGTTAACTTTCCAATGTACCTGTTGAATTTTGCCAGTACCTTCATCTCTTGGGTCATGCCACTGATATCCCATATTGATCACTTATTGTTTCTTGATTAATGGCTCTACAAGCTGTGTGTATGGATTCCTTCAGTCTCCAATGCAGTGCCATGTTTGAACTCATTCTATTAATATTAATACATGCTTTTCACACATAATCAGCTATACCTGATTTTAAAGTTTCACCAATTTCCATTGTGTCCCAAATCTTATTTTTAGAAAGTAGTTTGTCTTACCCTTGTACTTTGACAACTGCACAGAATATTGTGGTCACAGTTCTTGACAATTTACTTTGATAAGGTACTTAATATTAAATTCCTACAAACTTTATTTCAGAAAGATATATTTTTCTGTGCCATATTTGGTACAAGAAATTTAAGTGATACATCAAAAACAGTTAAATTCTAAATAACCTTAGCAGCAAAGAGACTCTATGAAATTAGTTTAAAAAGGCTGATCTTATACTCACAATAGCATTTACAAAAGATAATAAAAGGAACAAAGGGAAGTGACTGTATAATTACAAATGTTAAAACTGACCTTATTTTGCATTTTAATGGCAGCTAAAATAACTGGATACTCAGAGCTGAGAATCAAAGGATTCAGAATCCGAATACTCTGCTCTGGTGGAATAACATTAGCCAGTGTTCCTGCACATTCTTCTGCAGCTTTCACAACCTTTTCAAAGAGAAAAAATATATATATATATATATCACAATAAGTAAAAAAAAATAAAAGAAAGAAATTTAAGTGAAGAAGGTCTGGGTTGAGTTAAGTCCTAATAGGTGCTCAAGGCATAAAGCCCTCCGTGAGAGAGAACATCTGTTTATCACAAGTGAAAATTCAGGGTTCATTCAGTGATGACAGAACATCATTAGTTTGGTAGTCAGGATTTTGAAAGTGACTAGCTAGTTTTTCTCCCACTGAGCTGTTAGAACAAGGTCAGAGAAGAGATCATCGGCCAGGTTCTGGTCATCTCAAGTTTTGGAAGTGCACTCATATACCATTGCATCCTCAGAATAGATATTCACAAAAGATCAGAGTATACTCTCAGGCAGATCATTTATGTAAAGTAGAAAGAGAGTTGCACCAAAAGCGGGCCTGGAGGCAGCTAATCACTTGGGCCTCTGAAAACTGGTTATTAGCAACTACTTTCAGAGACCTACTTAGGAAAGACTTTATAATTCAGAAGACTCTTCTAAGGCCTTCAAAATATTTAATGCAATCATCCTTGAGATGCATTTATTGAATAGTGCCTCACTGATTCTGAGTAATGACAGTTAAGATACAAGCAGTGGACCAAGCCAATTGAAATCTGTACTGATTGTCACTATTGAAGTGATCAACAAGCTTCTTGTTGATTATAGCTTCAAAAATTTTGGCAATTACACTGAGGAGGTTGATAGGTCTATACCGAGATGGAAACGAGTGCTCACCCATATTCTTGAAAACAAGGCATACACTTGACACCTTCCAGAGACTTAGGAAGGATTTCTTCTTCAAGCAGCAGTTAAATAGTTTTGCTAAGATCAGAAATAACACAGAGTTAATATTCTTAAGAACAACTACTGGGATTTTGCTTGGATCAGAAGCCTACTTAGGGTGAAGACTTTTCCCAGGCTGTGATTAAAATATCACTGAGATTGTGCTCTGTGAGACAGAAGTCAGGAAGGAAATAGAAACAAAGTTTGTAGCAAAGTGCTTTGCCTTATCAGAGTCATTTTGAGGTGTTTCATCAGAATGGTTTTAAATAATGTTAGTGGAAACAAGTGTCAAACTGATCTTAAGCAAAAGGTTCATTTGCCAAAAATCTAATACAAAAACTATATATATATATACACATGCGTGCAATGTGTAAATTGCTGCTATTTTATATTTTTAATTTTGTGCATGCATGTTGTTTGTCTTTTTCAACTGAATAGTATAGTAAGGTCAGTTGGACATCATCTGTGAGAAAAAGAGCACCATGACACAATTCACTGCCAGAAATTTCAAAACCTCATGCTGTACTAATTGGCATTTACACCAGAAGCTCCAATACAAACATTTCAGATTGTTTAGGTGTCAATCAGTGAAGAGGATTCAGAAAGAGTTGGATGAAACTAATGGTGATTATGAAGATACAGCAGCTTGAAAAACTCACTCTGATAAGAAAAGAACTCCCAAATTTGTTGGTGAGGGCCTCAGACTCAACACGGTGACCTACAACAGGAGATAGGGCTGCCTGGATCAAAAGGGTAGTTGCTGGACTCTGCACCATGTGACATAAGCAGGAGAACCCATTTATGGATGTCAGACAATTTCTGCAACCACATCACTCCTTACATCTAACTACCTAACTCCCAAGACTGCAACCCCTTTGATTATTATGTGAATTATTATGAAAGCAAAAATTACAGCAACATTCACAAACAGAGTTGCAGGAGATTCCAAAGCTGTCTGGAGGCTGTGGTTGAAGCCAATGGCAATTCTATTGAATAAATTTACTCTTTTGTATTTCAAGTTATTTTTTTGTATAATTTTGATGAATATATCTGCTAAAATGAGATGTCAGCATTATTTTCATTTTTGCATAATTTAGATGACAATCTATCCATTACACCCTCTCTTTCGCTGCCCCCTTTTCTCTCTTCATAATCTAAGCCCCCAAAGAAAACTTTTCTAGATCAATTTATTTTGGCTATAGTTTCAGCTATTTTTTTAATTTTCTATTTCCTATTTTTTTTATCTTTGTATATCTGTCTGTCTGGGATATCTTGATTCCATTTCATAAAATGTAGTCCGTCTGATGAGATGAGTTTGCTTATATTCATCAAAATAAAAATTTATTACTGACAATGGATTTTTAAGGTTTTTTTCATAATTATTATTATTTGCTCTTTGTCATACACTGAGCTCTCACATGGACTAAAAGTCCTCTTTGGAATAATGCCTACTAATTACAATTTGGTATTTTATTATATAATTTTATTGGTATTCTGAAGAACAAAACTGAGTTAATCTTCAATATGTATCCTGAACTATATATATATATATATATATATATATATATATATAAACATGTTTGGTCATGCATTGAAAACCCAAATACATACACCAGGGTGCTGACATTTTTAAGTGTGTTCTGATTGAGCCAAGAACCTTTAAGCACACTCTTATAAATACTTGACACAAACATTTCCTTAAATAAAACCCTTTTGTTGCAGCTCTTAAAATGTAGCAAAATGAGAAAAGAATTAAAACTTACCTCTCTGATAGGATCTTTGTGAGATTCTAAAATTTTAAGAATTGTTAATTCAGCATAGTCTTTAAACTGAGCAGGTTGGTTGTGTAAAATGTCACGCAGCACACACAGTGTCAAGCCCCTGATTTTATACTGGAATAAAAAGAAAGAAGCTTTAAAAATAAAAGTTATAGGTTTTAAATAAATAAAAAAAATATCAGCATCATGTATTTCTGGACATTGCAAAATTATATAACTAAATATTTTTAAAATGTTTTTACAGGATATTTTTTAAATGATTATAATTTCTTGTTCTATGAGCATTAAGCAATCCTCTCCTCCTCATGGATTGATATCAAGTATGAGTTATAGATCTACTTTCTTAAATAGATATCACTTATCAAATTTTCAACAGGGCATGAGTTTATTTATCATTTGCTCTCTCTTTAAGTCAATTTTGTAAAATTTCTCCATTTTTGCCATTTTTTTTTCCTTTTGGGGAAAGAACTATAATTTATATGAAATTGTGAAAATGATGAGACTAAGTGGAAAATCAATCAATGTGTTTTGCCAAAAGTGTCTGCTCTCTCTGGCTTCCTTAGGTTAGAATGCAAAGAAAAATGTGTTGAGATCTTGAGTGGGGACCATAAATTAAATTTCCTTATCACACCCAATGTTCAGCTGATCTATGGCCCCTACTTATTCTCAGAGATTCCAACACATTTTTCTTCGCATAGTTTTGTCTTTCTTTCATTCTAACCTGGCAAAACACGTTTATTGATTTTCCACTTTGTCTCCTCATTTTTGTTTCCGATACTATTATACATCCTACAACCACATATGAAACTGAATAAATCATTTTTTTTATAAGAATTAGTATTTCATAAGACTTAGAAATGAATTAAGAAATAATTTATGAAAATTAATGTTAATTATCAGCAATCTCCAGCCTTAGTATGTAAATAATTACCAAAATGTTTGAGTAAAAATGAATATAAATAAAAAAAAAAATGCTTACATCATCATCAGCTAAGGTTTCAAGGAGGATCAACAAAACTGGTTTGAAATGCTTGTCCCATAATTCTACTTTTCCATCAACAGCAAGTTTCATTAAAGAATGCATTGCATTTTTCCTTTCTTCATTTCTGAAAAATATATTTTTTAAAAAATCATAAATTTAAGTCAAACTTTCAGTAATTGAATAAAACTAAAGTCTATTATACTTTCAAATATATTTTTCATCATTGACTGCAATAGTTGAAAAATTTATTATGGGACACATTTTAATGCACCTATCATTTTCAGTCATTTAATTATCAAAGAATGTAACAAAATATGAAACAATATCGTTTATATTTGACATGTAATTGAGATTTTATTCTATATTCTAATTTTTTTCAACTCAAATTCATTGTTAAAAGGTAGGTATGAACACAAAACAGTAAAGAAAAAAGGCCTTAAATTCAAAAACAATGTACTAGGTTAAAACATTTTCTAAAAGTTGTTTTGTTTACAAAAAAATTATCTAGTATTTTTCAGAACCAGAATTATGAATTTAAAAGAAAAATTTAAAGTCACACTGTAAAATATCATTACAAGGCACTATATTCATTTTTTAAAGTTTCTGACTGCATCATGCAAATCATTATAGATTGCCTTGTGAAACTTTTTCAAATTCATTAAAGCTAATAATAAAAATATTTGTTAGAAAATTCACATTATTTTTAATAGATATGATTCCATATTTTAAAAAAAAACTACTATCCACAGAAGCTACATTTGAATTTAAAAATAACAAAAAGTTCTCTTGTTCAAATATTATGCTTATTGAAATGCATCATTATAAATAAAATGATCAATGTGTTTTTAATTTATTTTTTTAAAGCATAATCAATTACAAGGTAATCAAACAATATAGACATGTTTTATATATCTAAGTTTTTAAAAAAAATTAAAATTATATTATTACAAACCTTATGCTTTTCAAGATATAGAAAATAACAAGCACAAATGAATTTTGTCTTTATGACAATCCATAATGCAAATCAACTAGACATTTTCTAAGGAATTTTTTAAATCACTATTATGCCACTGCCTCCCCACATTCAAAGAGATATGAAAGCATTTATAAAAAAAATATTGGAAACTAGCATTATCTGAATCAATAGCACAAGAAAAATGTGTTAAATTTAAATAAGTTTAGTATGTGCATATTAAGAGAATTTTTCATATCTATATATATATATATATTTAAAAAGAGGAAAAAACTTTTGGATCACACAATACTACACGATTCCATGTAAGAATTTTGCAGCACTAGATTATTATTATGTTGAGTAAATATATATTAATCAATAATAGAGACAAGATGGCTATTAAAATGACTGCAGGAATGGGGAAAAAAATTAACAACCAAAACGTTACGCAAACTTAATTTCAGTTAATTATCACAATTTAAATAAGTTAAAAATAATATATTAAGTGAATTTTGTGATTCTGTTTTTTTTTTAATGATTATTTATGTTATAAAATAAAATAAGACATATCTCGGCTGATTTACAGGCAAATACTCAAGAGCGAGAGCCGGATGTGAACGGGACAAAGCCCTGTCACAAAATGACCATTATCTTCGTTTACAAATTTTCCCGACACACGAGTTCCAGTCGAAAAATAAAATAATATTTAAAGTGCTCTATTTTTCGTCCAATAAAAATGCTTCCCTCCTAATTATACTCGCTTACAATAAGGAATTCAAAAGAGAATCAATCTCCTGTGAATTAGACTTACCTCGAATTGTGATTAGAAAGCTCTGTAAGAATTTCTTGAATTTGCTCATCTTGGTCATGATGGGTGCCTAAAAACAAAAGAAGAAAAATAATTGAATGCAGATTTAGAAGAGAAGAGTGCCTATGTACAAATTAAGTTAGAATCCTGTTCAGTCAACAGAGAAGATATGAAGAGGAGGAGAGACACCAAAGAACCACAGAGTTTGGATAAGAATAGATCCATCTAGAGATAGTACCTAAACAGAACAGAGGAATATCAGCTCCATTGTACTCGAAGGATTTTTTTAGTGTTAGTAGTTAAATAATTCACACAAACACTGAAGGATGAAACAAATGTTAACCTTTGGAAAGAACAGAAGCAGAAGAGTTTTTCTTGGGGATAATGAAAAATGTATGAATTGTTAATGAAATGTACCAAAAAGTGGTCATAAACAGAGACTAAAAATTCTTCAAGACTCACAAAATAGATAACACTATAATACCAGAGACAAAAGTATATTGAGATATATACAAGTATAAACTGAGCTGATATTTATTAAGGTCTTTTAAATATTCAAATAAGATAAATCTATTTCCTACATTTTACAGATTAAAACTTACAAGTCTAGAGAATATAAAAGAAAAAAAAGCAAGACATTTAAAAATAAAACAAAACTAAAAAACAACAGCCTTCAATAAAAAAAAAAAAAAAAACTGGCTGAATAGTGGGAATATATAACTCTTTGTAAGTAGCAGTAGAAACAGATCATGCAAGGGAGGACACTAACAATAACACATTAATATACTAACTAAATCAAGATTAAGACTTCAGATAAGAATGTAGTCTTATAGTTTTATAAAATCAAAATGAGTCACTGATTAAAAAAGAAAAAAAAAAGAAACATATCTAACAGTTTACAATGCAAGATGCAATATAACAATAAGGTTAGTAAATCTTGAGACAAAAATACACAGCAGTTGAACTACCATCTAGAGACAAGAAACACACAACTTGACACAACTAAAATCTCATGCTCTGCATGCTTACTCACTCTACAGGTTAATAATAATCATAATAAACATAAAATATATTCCTAATTATAAAAAAAAAAACAAAAACCAATAAACAAAAATAAAAAAAACACTCAATTACAAGAAAACATCTACTGCCTGAATAAAATATACATCTAAGCAGATAAACATACTGAATAGGAAAACATTCTATTTGAACTGTTATATGCATCTATTGTAACCAAAGTCTTGAATATTTTGTAAGATTATCACTTATATAGAGTCACTAAGAGATTCTAACTTCTAAAAATAAATTATTTCACTCTAAATATTCTATTCATCTGTAGAGAACAGATACTAAAATCATAAGTGTAGATAGATTAAAAGCTTAATCCAATATCCTACTATTAATTTGACAGGTAATTTTAGCAGGAAAAAATGAGCATATGAAATCAACACTTTAAAAAGATTAAATTCCCCTCTTCAATATTCAAACCAAATAAACTTTTGTTGAAGGAATAAGATTATATGTCCTATGGATTTTTTTATCCCCCAAACAAGCAAATTTGAGTAATGTGGCAGAATCTATTTTTATTTCTTCTCCTTAAAAGAAATCACATAAAATTGGTTACTATTTTTAAAGGACACCTATCACCTAATATATTACTATACTTACATAATAGTTTTTACAATAAATAAAAATGATTATGTCAAAAGGAAGATATTAAAATACTGAACTTTACATGAAAGTGTAATTCTTCAAATGTTTCCAATACATTAGAATAAACAAAAGAACCCTTGTATCTCATTTTGTTCAGTATTTATAAACCTTGAATGTAAATTTTTTTAAGGATGATGATAATAAAAAAAAAGAAAGATCAAGGTCTCTGGAAAAGTTCAAATGATAAATCCATAAAATTAAATAAGATATTTTAAAAATAAAAATAGTATTAAATAAAAAATAATAAAGCTTATAATAAAAGATATTGTTTGCGATTTTAGTTTGATTTCTATTTTAACAAGACTGGAAAGAAGAGTTGTGAATAATGTGAATGCTAACTTTTACCATCTACACAATAAAACTTCCTATCTTATATCCTAACTTGGAAGCCCAATTAATGTTAAGTAATCATTCATGGAAAAATAAATGATTCCCTATGATAAAAAATAATTAAGTATATGACCCTCTAAGAGTCATTTAAAGCCAGAGATGCTGACAGTTTTAAGTAATGAACAGTATCTACTGAACTGTAATGCTTATTTGACAAATATTTTACATTTTATATATATATATATATATATATATATATATATATATATATATAGAGAGAGAGAGAGAGAGAGAGAGATCCACTTTTTGGCCACAAGATTTTATTATTAGAACACAGGCAGAAAGAATGGGTTCCTAGGAAATTAAAATAGCAAAGAAAAATATTACTTGGAAAATGATATGTTTAAAATAATATTAGCAAATTAAAATCTCTTAATTTACAAGCCTGTTATAGAAATTTAAAGTTAATAATACTTCATACAAAACTAAATTTGAAAATATATTCCTTATAATTAAAAGACAAAATCTATGTAGCATACACAATATCATCCTCCCAAATTCTACTTTAATTTACACAAGATTCAGAAATTTATTTAAAATTTACATTTTTAAAAGAATATTTTATATTTTGAACCAACTTTTTATTTTAAAAGCAAACATTTTTTCTTTTAGCTACAAAAACATTAAATTTAATCTTTATCTAGGTAGTTTTTACTGGTTGAAAGAAGTTATAGAATGTTTCAAATACAAATATGTAGTTACACTATTTTAAATAAAATAAGCATTAACATCATGTAACATTTTGAAAATACTTAAATCACTGATCATGCATTTTTAAAAACTGAAGGATAATCAATAACCGAGTAGTAGTTAAAAAATATTTTTAATAGACTACAATATCAGGAAAGATATTTTTCTTTATGACAAATAATTATTAATTTGTTCAAAGAATGAATAGTATTTATGTTGATAGACTAAAATTCTGAGATAATTTAAGTTCAAGCTGAATAAGAACCTCTACTGCAATTATATTATAACTTCCCTCAGACTAAGTTCAAACATTTTAAATGGACAAATGAGATATACTTTAAGTTTAATTTTTACCAACATATAAAATATTTAAAAATGTGATTTTTTTTTAATTACCTTAAAATAAAAATATATTTAACCATTAAGTTTCTGCAAAAGTTTGCAGAATTTTCTTTAATTAAAATTACTTAAATAACAAGTGCATATATTGCATATATTTTTTATCAAAATATTTCCCTTAATTTTATATAGATTTATGGTAATATTGCAAAAGCTTTCAAATTCTATCTTGAGAGAATGGTACTGGCTTTGACAAAGTTGTCAATTTTGAATATCAACGATGTCTTTTAAATTCTTGACCAGATGATGATATGCTACAACAGCAGAAAATTTCAATCCAACTCCATAATAAGTTTTTGGAATTTATAAAGCAATATTTAGAAGAGGGTTATCATGCAGTAATATGACGATTTGGTTTCCTTCTGTAAATGGCCATTTTTTTTTTTTTGTTTTGTCACCACTTGAAAAGGTCAAAACAACTATAAGACCCTGCAGTAACAGTTTCTCTAGGATGCAGCATTTCATAATATACATTACACCATTTGATATCCTATCAAATACACAGAGAAATAACATATTTTTGCAAATAAGGTGAGGTTTGCTGCTAATGCTGCAGGTTGTCCTCGTTAAAACCAGGAGTTTTATTTCTATGGATTATCATAATGAAATCATTTTTAAACTCCAGTGACAATTTTCCACAAAAAGATAATTTTTCATGTCCAACAAAAAGTGAAATGTATATGGTGGAGACACTGTCCAATGTGGAACCCATTTCCACCCAATCTCTTCTTTTAATATTCCCCACACTTTGCAGACACATATTACATTTGCTGAGTGATCAACTCTAAGTTTTACAGTCAATTCCAGCATTGACCATTCTCCAAAAGTGCTTTCAAGTCATTATTTCCAAATTCTTGTGATCTGCTACTGTATGGTTTAATATCTGTTATGCCTTCATTGCTTTAAATGCTGATAACACAATCAAGAAATTTAAGGTCGCTTGGAGTCGACATAGTCTTGCTGAAATCGGTAGTAAGCAGATAAGCTAGATCTCTACTAGATCACTACTTCTACGGATGATTCTCGGCAGGTGTATAAATGTATTTAGAGGAGTCCAATTCCTATTCTGGAGATGTGTGTTCATCTCCACAACACCCCACTTTTAAGATATGCACTTTCTTCAGTTGATACCTTTTCCAACATGGGTCAAAGTTCAATGTTTCAGTCAGATTACATTTTTGTTTAACCTAGCATTGTATTGTAATTTCAGGTTTAGGAATTAGTACTTCAAAGGTATCAAAGTATGTCCACCGGTAAATTCAATTGTACTGGTTGTTTATTCTATGCATATCTAGACCTCAATTGATTCATATATGTCATGATGAAATCGTCCACATCATACTACCAAGACATTGAATAATTTTTCCTTCCTGTCAATTTTCCTTTCTGGCCTTAAAGCTTTTAAAGAAAATCATCACTGATCTTAAATGATCGGGTAGTTTGAAATTGTCAAACTTTTGTTTTATTCCCTGGCAATAATTTTGTCTAACTTTCCTAGCAAACATGAGCTCTGTGGGTGGCATTTTCACAGTAATGTTTGCATTTGACATCATTCAATACACACTCAAAAATACTTGTGTCATTTCTTCAGCTTCTAAGCCTTTAGCTTTTCTTAATGCCCTTTTGAAGGCACCAACAAACTGTTCCGTTTGACCATTCAACCTCAGGTGATAAACTGATGCTGTTAAATGTTCAACTGCATAATTTTTGTAGAAATTTTTAAACTCACTAGAAGTAAATTGAGTTTCATTATTAGGTATTATTCAATCTGCTCCCATTACATTTGTTGTAATAGTTGCTGAATAATTATCTTCAATTCTTCTATAGTGTATTATGTTCATACCAGTAGTCCTTAACTAGGAAGAAAAAGTTGTTGTTTTTTTTTTTTCTAATAGCAGTATATCATACAGCTTTGAAGTTTATTGACTTCCTCATTGCACTATGAATATACACAAACTCTACAAAATTCTTTCCATGAATTTTGAATTTTCTTTGACTGCTATTTATGCTAACAGAAAAGGAAAAAAAAATTATTTTCAAGTGAATTCCAATCCCATCACCACTGTTATGTTTTCATTGCACTGAATGAAGATCACACAATCAAGAAACAAAGTTGCTTGGAGTTAATGTAGTCTTGCTGAAATCAGTAGTAAGAAGATAAGCTAGATCTCTACCAGATCTGTCTACAACACAATACTTCTACTGACGATTCTGTCCATATATATTTATTTGGACAAGTCCAAGTCCTATTCTGGAGAGTTGTATACACAACAATATCCAATTCAAATTCACTCTTCTTGAAATTAGCCAACCATAAACCATTTCTATTAGCTTCATCAAGCACATTCAACTGCTGTCTTGCCCAACTTAAAAAGAAACAACATGTAGTGTTGTAAGTGCATCTTGCCTGTCATCATTTCTCTTCCTTAACACAGGATAAATGAACATTGAATACTCAAAAACAACAGTCTATATAAGATGCTAGTTCTTGAATAAGAAATCTCTGGGAACTTTTGCATGAATATAACTATTAATGAAAAAAAGTTGTTTTTTTTTCTTAATAAAGATTTTAAATACTCAGTGAATAGATATTTTATAAGTCTTTCATGCTATCTTCAAAGTTAAAACTTTGAAACAATATTTTTCCTAAAATAAAATTTGTCAGAGAAACTGCAACTTGAGGTTATTGAAGCTCAAATTTTTTATATATCAAGGAAGAAATATTAGCATAAATAATTTATAAATATCAAATGAGATTTCCTTCCAAAAGGACTTTTATAAATCTGTATACATATTTATCACTGAATTGTGGCAGTATATGCAAGAGAAGAGGTGAAAAACTCAAGGCAAAACTCATGAAATTCTATTAATTTGAAATCTAAATTAGATAATTCATACTTTTGCTAGAAACAATCCTCAATCGTTCTACATCCAACAAAGAAAATCAAGAAAATACAATTTTAAATGTGGGATTGTATTTTAAAAAGAAATACATGTACATATGTATTTCCAGAGTATATTGCATAGCAAAGAATTCTTTAACCTTAGAGTAAGACAAAGGGACTATGATTCTTTTTTTTTTTTTTGGAAAGACTAAAATCCTCATCTCCAGCCATTGTATCTATTAAAAAAAAAAAAAAAAAAACCTAGAATATAATGACCAAAAGGTTTTAATAAAAAAAAACAAGAGACAAGATGAGGATGCAAGCCAGAAAGAATTATTATATAACTGGTTTACTATTAAAATTATGGCAATATTTAAGTCATGTATAATTGTTTTGGGTTCTGTATGAGTAATCTCAGATTTTTGTCTATTACTACATGTAAGAAAAAAAACTTATTCTGTAAAATCATTAAAGTATTTAAAAAAAAAAAAAAATCTAACATGAAAAAAGTGATGCATTAACAGCCTTGTACCCTCCTACTTATTAATGGAATATTTCATTTTTTTTCTTTTAAACACAAAGTACATGCACTTATTAGCATCAAGTAGGGCAATTCAATGTGGTGCAATTGTTAAGCAATCTTGTCTCGCTAGAACAATTATGACTGAGTAGTGAGTTTAATCCTTACTGGGTGCCACATATTTCAGCCTTGTACCACATCTAAGTTATGCTTAGAAAATCACCACTTATTAGCATCAAGTTATATTTTCTGTTACCCTAACAATGAAATATCTCATTACTAAAAAGGGGAGATCAGGCCATATGACTATTGAATGTATAAAGTCTCATTGTATTTTATATTATAGAGTAGATAACACCACCTTATTTAAAAAAATTAGACAGAAATCCGAGAGGACATTTTGATTTGTAGATGTTTAGCATAATGCTGTGAATTGGCCAAGTTACTGATTGAACTATTTTTAATTTCAAATATTAGATATTTTATATAAACTATTACTGAGTCTAAATAATCAAAACATGGTTCTTCATAATATACCATAATCTGGAATATTATTTATTTTAAAAGATGTGTTACAAACCTTAAATATTAAGCATATAATTATATCGAAACCAAAATATATCTCTGGTGAAGGTCAATAAAATTAACAACAGAAAACTAAAAATTAATATAAAATTTTCCAATATATCTTTCATTTAAAAAATTTCTTTGGGTCTCTATTTATTGTACTTTAGGTACAAAATGATGTAACTGAGATGAATCATTAATAGACAAATAATGAGATGAACAATGATAAGGTGTTGTCGCATATGGGTGGAACATACAAACTATATACTACACAACGAGCGCGCAGTATGGCACAACAGAAGGCAACACTCTAGCAGCTGCCTAAACACGAGAGCATTTGGATGTCAGACAGGAAGACTGACAAAGACATGGACATTAAAAACAATGTAGTGTTAGTCATTGCGGGATTAAGGGCCACCTCTGTGGACAAATGGTTATGGTTAGTGGTCACCTAGCCAGCATAGTACCCAAAGTGAGAGGGGGAAGGGGAAAATGGAGGTAAAATGAGTGGGAAGAGGTGACAACTTGTAGAGTAGAGGTGGAAGCAGAAAACACTGAGTAATGTTGGGGGAAGAAATCTCACCACAATCGGTTACCGGTATCCCCAGCAGTGACTTCCACGGAGCTGGACAAAATAATAGGAGCAGCGCATTGTTAAATGGCAGTGAGCAACACACATTTCATTCACACATGTACATCAAATTCTCCTTCAGTATATTACATTTTCAAGCAAAAGTATTGTATATCCAGCATCTCCACCAACCTTACAGCAAAGTGAGCTTCTAGCTAAAAATTATATAACTCCACATTCTTTCAAAATAACTTTTTCTATCAAAGACCTCCTTCCACAAATCTCTTATAAAATTCACCATTCTCAAGTTCTACCACAAATATGTAAAAGACAAGTCTATGTCTGATTATGGTCAAAATTCCAATTAATTTAATATTGAGCTTAAATAAACTGTTAAGAAAGAATTACGGAAATTAATTAACTAGACTCGCTAACTTTAGCAGAATCAAATACAGTAAGACAGCAGTTATAACAGGAAAATCTTTAAAAATTTCTGTAAACAAATTTGTTACTAAAACTACACATCTCATAATGAATAAACATATCAACCATACAATGAGCTTGAAACATCTCTTAAATGAAAAATTGATAGCAATGACATCAACAGTTAGAAACTCTTACATGATTGGTTTTGCAGTGCTACACATACATAAACACATCCAATATGCAAGCAACAGCTACAAAAGCATGAATGGATGATGTGGATATACAATAACTCATTGACTGAGTTGATTTAAAAACAGGTTTGTAGATAATGGTGACTGATGAAAAACAAGGACATTGCTTATATAATAAAAGCATTCAATTTATACAATTCAAAAAAATTCAACAGTATTAAACAAAGATAAAAAAAGTTCACTTTTTATATCTTCCTATCCTGATTATTTTTATAAACTTTTTACAGATTACCAACACCACAGGAAAATCTTATCAATTGAAAAGTTCATGAAACATTCTTTAACTTTTGGGTTTAATTGTATAGATTGTTTAAATTTTTTTTTTTAAGAAAAAGTAAATTTTCTTAAGCTCTGTAGATGAAATATTTTTACTATAAATTGAAAACTGATTAAGGGAAGACTGCTAGAAAACACAAATAATTAACTTCAAACTTGTTACCTGATTAATATGCACAAAAAAAAATTTTTTTAAATTATAAAATCAAAGATACAAAACATTAAAATGGTAAAATATATTGAATTATTATTTCCAAATACAAAGCAAAAACCATGGCAAATTTGTAGTTACACTTCTGATCTTTAAATTCAGTTTGCTGGTCTTCTGTTGAACTTTTAAGGACAGTAAAATATTTATACAGATCTGTGTTATATTCTCAATATAAGGATGTACAATTCTATGTAATTTTGATTACCAAAAGGATAATTATTTTTACCAACAAGATGCACTCAAAGCTATTTTTAAATAGAATTTTTGTTATTTCCATCTACCAGATATATGCAAATTAAGAGTGCAGATCCAAAAATATTTTTCCATCTGATTTATAAAAGGCAAAATTATTTGTATTTAGCCATGATTATAAATATTCAGATATTTAGATATTTTGTTGAGAAATAATTCTTAATGTAAGAAAAAATAAAATCTAAAAATCAATGTCAAAACAGAGAATGTTAATTATGAATTTTAATTAAAATTAAGAAATCAGAATTAAGAACATCAACTCCTCTATAGTTAACATAAAAGCTACAATCAAAAATAATTATTAAAGCTGATTTTTATTAACAGCAACAAGTTCCACAAATGAAAATTTTATGCTTAAAATAGTAGATATCATTTTCAACTTATATCAGTTGAGTGACAAGCACTCAAGTTTCAGAAAACGTTATATTTTAATGCTTATGCTGAAAATTTCACACATTAGCAGATATAGATTTTATTCTATTTTGTTAATGAGATTGAATTTATTCAAAATTTTTGTAAAATGTTAGCTTCAAAAGGAAAAATAATTTTTTTTTATAAAAAAAAAAAAAATGCTGAGAAATTCTCAGCACATCCCACTTTCCCCAAACTTTGACCAAATAACCATACTTCCCCTCCCCCTTGGGGGGTAGGGCAAAAATACCTTACAGCACACGCATATATAAAACTTATTTATGGCTATCAATTCAGCAACACTTACCTTCATTAAATAACTCATTTTCCATATCCAGCATGGCTCCTGAAATTGTAGTTGTCCTGTTATATCCATTGAGTGTAGGCTGCTAGAAAACAGGAAAATGATAGAATTCTGCCTTGGATAAAAGTATCTGTGCACTTTGAAAAGTATTGTTTTATATATGTGGATGTTATCCTTTGAATTGAAATGCAACCTACAGCATGTTTGTTTATATTACTTTATTCAATAGGAGTTTCAAGTTTCTATTCAAAGAATTACAACTCTCAAGTACATGTGCATCAGTACAATTACAATCAAGTAACTCAAAATATATAAATATGGATAGTCTAAAACAAATTTTAAAAATGCATTAAACAAGCCTTGGTCACTTTTACTGTAACTTAATTTACAATATCACAAAGCAAACTTCAGAAATGAGAAAAATAAATTAGTAATCTTATTCTTGATGCCACAAAAATTGGCAATGGTGATTGAGGTTGAGCTAAAAAGTAAAATTCTGCATCAACAACTACAGGAATCAGAAATTCAATAAAGTGAAATTGTTTCAGATTAATAAGGAGATCAGTTTTACAGTAACCTTGTATACATTATAGAAACTGAAGCAACAAGACAGACTATATATCCAGAGTAAATTTCAAACTTTACCTCATCTTGGTAATGGGTTGGGTTGTAGACAGTCTTACGTGGATCAGCAACATCGGGACTGTCATTACGCAAATCCTGAATGCCACTGTCTTGTGAGGTGAATTCTTTCTTCTTTTTCACATCATCAAAGTGATCCATCTTGCTATTGTAGCTGAGGTTCTGAATATCTGCAGATGTTTTCCTTATAGAGTTATAAATATCTTGAGGATTCATGTTCTCAGTTTCATATTCATCAGGTTCTCCAGATCTAAATTAAGAAAAAAAAAATTACTATAATACAAAATTCACTATTCATGATGGTTAAACAAATGTAATTTTTCTTTAATGTGTGAAATAAAAAAATGCTTTATAGTTGGAATGGCTATCAAAATCTATAATTGTATCTAAGCAAAATATAATAAAAAAAATTTTTTTAAATTGAAATACGACATGTTTTTGAAGATTGCAACAACTATTACTCTATCAATTTTGTTTTTAAAGCATAAAAAATTCCTTAAATAACCAAATTTGATATTATTCATCAGGTAAAACTATATACATTGAATAGCAGAAAAAAAAAAACATACACCAGAATGAATTAATTTCAAATGTTCAGTCTTGATTTAGATCAAATACAATTTATATAAAATAGCTTTTGTAAGTACACTGTTAAAAGTACATGATAAATATCTCAACACTGACCTACATGTGGTCAATTCTTACCTAGATGGCGGACGTAACCGCGAGACAGGACTTGTAGCATTTCGTGGAGAAAGTACATCAGAATCAGAATGAGAACTAGCATTTTTGACATGATTGTGCAAAATCTTTGTAGCACCATCCTGAAATAAAAAGCCAAATAAAATTAACTCATTAATATTTTTCATTTTTACAAAATATAAATATATATCTATGGCAGGGAAAGAAAAAAAAATTGAAACTGGATTACTAAGACAGACAACTCCAAACACATAACTGTGTGTAGTTCAAGAATTCGATATAAAAATTAATTTGAAACAAAAGAAACCTTACATAAATATAAATATTTGCAACAATTTTGCTATTATTTTTCAAGTAAACATTTAAATATGGAAAACACCAATAAAGTAAATGCCAGTGAGATTCAAACACATAGCTGCAATCTATTCTTCTTGGTCCAGTCATCCTTAATACTGATGCCTCAGGAGTATAAACAAATGCAACCAAATTGGCTACATACATAGTGTGTTTTAGTCAACCATCAAAAAGGTCACTTCTCAGAGTGATTTTTATAAATTTAGTTTCAAAAATTTATTTCATTTTTTTTTTTATCAAAAGGTAGTAGAAAGCAAGTCTAAAAACATATTTTACTAACAACTAAAAAGTATATGTATTTTCATGTTTGCTTATTAACATCAACTGATGAAAAATCTTCTCAAGAAGCAATTTCATAAGATGAAAGAGAATGATTTCTTCCAAGAATGTGAATGAACATAAGTGTCCTAAAAAGATGGATGAATATTCTCACATCCAGAAAATAAAAGTAATAAAATAAAAATCAATATAAGTGTGTTTTTTGGGTTTTTTTAAGCATCAAGTATTATAGAAAAAATTTTTTAAAAAAGTAAGGAAGAAATAAATCATACATAAAATTTTATCTACTTTCTCTAGCAAAAAAGAGGAATATGAATGCCTATCAATGTAAGGCAAATCTTTCCACTCACACACCCTGTCAGAACTATAGATGGCCATTCCTGAAGTTTGATATGACTTTCATATCTGAACACTAAATGAACTGATGTCATTTAAACTGACAATTTTTAAATATCAAATAAGATCCTTTAAAGTTCAATTGTTATCAACAGTGCCACACACAGCAAGTGTATAGGTATAATTGTTGTCTATTCATTAGCTTCAAAATCTGTTTAAGTATTCTATAACCCAGGGAATTTCACAAGACAAAATGCCTTAGAATTACAAATTATCGATGATAAACAGTATCAATAAGATGCTATTTAAATAAGAAAGTTTTTATTTTTTAGTTTTACTTTTAATTCAGAACAAACAATTTACTATTTATCATTACACCTTTTAGCTTAACCTTTTAGCTTTAGAAATAGATAAAACAAACTGAACAATAATAATGAAAATACAATGACACTAGGTGGGAAATACACACAAGCTTCTTGCCACAGTCTAACTAATAAAGAGGACAATAGTACATAAGTCATGCAGTACATGCACTATCTTTGCCACAGAGGTATTATCTCCCCTGACAAAGTACTGGTCCAGGTTGACCATATTGTAACAGTTCGTGGTGGTGAATCTGTGGCTCTCTCTGTGTATGTGTGTGTGTATGTGTTGGTCAGTTGGTCACTCAGCAGCCAACTACCTAACCTGACATTCCTCCCTTTATAGCATAATACAAGTAGAAAAGGAGGCTAAAAACAAATATGTCATTTAGGATCAATCTATAGAGATTCACTCCCAAATAATCAAATGTCACCTAAATATAAGCTTTTTAAAACCTATGCTCTAATGATTTCTGGCATAACAAAAGGAAAAACAAAACTTTTTGCAAATAAATCAGACTACTTATTTATTCTTAAAGCTGTAACTATTAAAATAAGCTGTCAATAATGTCATCCAATATTTTCATTTTTCATATATAATTTTATTGTATGGTGACAATATAAATTATCATGCAGTGCCAAAAAGTTTTTTAAAATTATCTTTCACATTGAAAAAATATTTCAATACAAATATTTCATCCTCTCTTATGAATCTATATACAAAACAGGCATATTGTTATCCACAATTTCATGGATGAATAATTTTTAAGGTATCAAGGCTAACATCTTCAAAAAGGTTTACTTAATTATTTTCAAAGAACATAGAAAATTAGTTAATATTCCCCTTCTAAAATGACTTCTTTAATAATTTGTTAATCTAGTCATCAGAATTGAAAGAGACTAACAATTTTTATTTGGTTTACACTAATCTATTTGTAAATGCATTTTACTTTAAAATTGAGAATAAATGCTCTATTTGAGTAAGGATTGAGAATTTTTATTTTTGCTTATATTAGTTTTCAATTACTTTAATGATTACTTAAAAGTTTAGAGAAATAAAATTCTTGCAATCAGTAAAAATTTGTAGTTTACAACTCAACAACTTGATAATTACAATTGTTTAAGCTTAAAAATATGACTGCATATGTTATTGTGTAAGAAACCACTTTAAGATCTAAACTGACTTACAAAATTAAAAATCTGAACTTCTGTTAACAAGGCTTAAAAGATCAACATATTTAATAAAAACTATAACGCACAACACAAGCATACTAATTAGCATGAAATTATAAAATAAAATTTAGCAGGAATTACCAAAGACTATTACGGGACACATTCCATTAATGCTATCCATATAAAGTAATTAGGAATATATAATGGAAAAAATTAGTAGTTAATTTATGAAGATAAAAAAAAGCACAAAATAAAAATTGACTGACAGCAATTATGCAAAAGGTAGTATGAAAGAAATGAAAACAAAAGAAAAAAATGATCACAGATTGTTATTAAAAAAACTGGAAACTCAATGTCACAATGATCTTAATTTTTACCAAGTTACTGAACTTAATGAACCATAAACCAAATGACACAAAAGATTTGAAAATAGTTTTGAAAGAATAAAAACAATAAAAGAATTGATGCCCATTCCAATGAAATAAAAGTAAAATAGAGTAAAATTTAGCCATGCAAACTTCCAGCAAATAATGATCACTAGAATTAAACAAAGAGAAAACAGAATCACACAAATATGAAGGAAATTTAAAACTGCTTTCAGACAGGATTGTAAAACAGATTAATAAATATTATGCCAAAATGAATTTACACAAATAAGTTTTTATATTATTTGGTAAATTCAATTTAGAATATTTTGTACAAAACAAGATTAACACTACCTAAAAAGGAAATCTTTTTTCAAATAATAAAAAGTTAAAAAAAATGCAAGAAGTAAATATAAATGCTATAATCAAAGTAAACTAAAGAAAAGGGTAGAATTTGTCATAATTGAACAGGAGGTATTGATAGGCAACATGTGGCTGCTGTGTACCAAAATGAATGTAGAAAAGTGAGGGTAGGAGTGAGAGAAAGGGTAAAAAAATACTCAGTGCTTGCCAGCCAGTAACAATAGTGAAATACAACATAGATACACAGGCAAGTAAACAATTCCATCTAACAATTTGTACAATACAAATCCCATAAGCAGAGAGGGAAGATTTGTATAAAAAAAAAAATAATAATCAAAAAGAAATAAAAATAAAGATTCCTGAAAGGACACAAAAGAAAAAAAGAGAAAATAAAAATAAAATGCAACCAAAGAGAAAAAAAAAAAAAAAACTGATTATCCCAGAGACAAAAAGCCAAGGTATGAATGATTACAATTCCATAAAGTGTGTGTGTACTTTATGGCTGTGTGTATGTGTGTGTACTTTATGGCTGTGTGTATGTGAGAGAGAGTGAGAGAAAAATAACTGGAGAGATATACCAGGAATAGATAACCATTAGGTCCAATTAGGTTGGAGAAAAGGAGAGACAGACTGGAGGAAAGGAGAAAAAAAAAAAAAAAAAGGAAAGAAAAAAAAAACAGAAAAGACAGGAAGGATATAAATAAAACCCAAGCAGCAATATCCCAAAGGCTATCAGAAAATTTTAAGTGACTACCATTTGAGTGTGTGAGTGGCGTCTATTCAGATTTTGGCCAAGTGAGCCGATAGTAGTTACTACGAGAGCTGGGTTAGACCAAAAACTTTGCTGAAAGAGAAAAAGTATAAAAAAAAAATAGAAAAAATACGTAGATATTTTGTTGCAAGAAATTATTTCTGAATACTTCAATTAAAAATTTTATCAAAGCATGGAAACAAAACTAAAACAGCATTAAAAAAAAATAAATAAAATAAAACATTTTCAAATATAGCTTTAATCTATTAAATGTATCAGTGCAAAAACAATGTGGATGAATGCATTGTTTAATGAGGAAATATATATAAATTTCCAAGGGCAAGTTTTTCTTACCTGGAATGCTTTTGGAAGAATAGATAACATCATTGAAAATTCAGCTGTGTTAAGATTAAATAAAGCAATTAAAACTGCCTGTGCCGCCTGGAAAAGAAAAAGTGAAATGTATGAGAAAGTATTTTTAAAGGGAATATTATTTACTTAAAATAAAGACATCCATAATATATATTGATTTTAGTAAACAGTTATTTACATAAGCAGATATACAATTTATAGTGTATTTAAAAACCTGTAAAATTAGTTAATAAACCATCATTTGAAAAAAAAAGAAAAACACTGCACTTAAAGACACAGAATTAACTTTTTTTTTTTTTTTAAAGCTTTAATTAATTACCCCACCCCTGAAATAAAAAATGAAGTTATTTTTTTATTTTTGCCATAACTATTAAGTAGTAGGAAATAAATCAAGGGCTGTTAAAATTAAATTAAAACCCAGTTTGTTTGTTTTTTTCTTTTTTAACTTATACTTTATCTGGAAAAACAGTTATTTATTGATTTTTAAGGTTTTTGGTTGAGGGAGCAAAATCTAAAATATGACTAATTTATAAAAAGTTTCATTAATACTACAAATTCTAGACAATTATAAAACTAAAACTTGTATATTATTAGAGAAATAAAACAATACTTTAGCAAACATTTTTGTATTGTAAAAGAATGCCCAGTTAAAATGAATCCTATAGCTCTCGCTCTCATATATATATATATATATATATATATATAAAAATATAAATTTCCAAGAGGATAGAATCCAGGTAGAGCTCAATGTCCAGGACAGAGTAAAATATAATATAAAAGGCTCAAGCACTAATATTCCATGGTAATAATTTATTACATTGGAATCGTAATCATGATCCAATTCATCAGACGTATAAATTTGTAAATCTGATGAATTGAATCATGATTATGACGCCAATGTAATAAATTATAACCATGGAATATTAGTGTTTGAGCCCTTTCTAGTGTGTGTGCGTGTGTATGTATATCAAAGATTTGTTTTATTACCCAAACAATTTTGAAAATCAAAATAGACAACAGACTAATCTTTATACAGTATGGGCTTGTAGAGTTCCTGAAGTCCAACTTCTAATAAATTGCTTTAATCAAACAAAAATTTAATCAATAGGTTGTATTCATATTTATTTTTTTTTCTATCTATCCAGAATACTTAAGATTTGGTAAGTGTATAATAAGTGGATCAGAAGTGTTTTGTTATGTTGTTACTGCATAATTAGACCTAATGGCAGCTGATAATTTGATCAAAGAGCCAATCCTTTATGGCTCTGAAATCATAGAGGCCAAATGATAGAATTTGAAACTGTACCTTTGATATTCTAACATTTAGGACAAAATGATTATATATGACTCAAATTTGAAGATCTTTGACCACTCAATATTGAAGAATGAACTTGAACCATTAATTTTGTTATAAATTACATTCAGTATGTTTGTCTACAAAAAAAAAAAAAATAATAATAATCAAAGTTATATAGAGTTAGTGACATGCAGCTCAACCATAGGTGTATATTTGATGTATTACCTAATATACACAAATACAATATAATTAGAGATAAAGAAGCAGTAACTTAAGAATTTGTTAATAAATAAAATGTGCTTTTTGCTCTAATAATTATAATGAAATAAAATATGGCAAAAACTAAAATTAGTCAATGAACATGAAGGTGATTCAGTAAGTGTTACCTGACAGTTATTAGCAAAATTTTTATCTGAAATTCTCACAGCATAAAGTTGAATATATGTGTTTAATATTCACAACTGAACTAAAGAGGAGGTTATATTGAAAAATAATGTATGATGTTTATGAAATCTTTTTTTCATTGTTAGATGCTAGATTTACTGATGTATCTATGTAAATGTTATAAAAAAATGTTTTGAAAAAGGGGGATAACTCTAAGTGGAAGTAACTCCGAAAAACTATCTTAATCGAAGAAATTATGTAGAACTTCAAAATTTAAATCCATTTCCCAACCCAATGAAAATTTTCATACCTAATATATAAGTGAGAAATGAAGACAGAAGAAAGAGGAATAGGTCAAATTAATGTGCTATTTACCTTCCTGACATCTGCACTCTTGGGTTCTGTCGTCCAAGTGATAATTCGGGATACAGCTAAACGAGAATCACTAGAGTTGTTGAAATCTGAAGGATCCATCAAGAGTATTAGTGCATGCATGTATTGCAACACGGCTGCTTTCACCTGCAGAAAGTAAAAAGAAAAAATAACATAACAGGAAATAACTAAGCAGCTTAGTATAAAACAATTTACAATTTTTCATTTCATATTTTATGAGAATATAAAAAAGAATTCACTATATATTTAGGATTATATAATGACTTGTGAGATTCCTTTTACCAACTATGGATCTTAAATGCACAAAATATATTTGGTATATTTTTTTAATATTAAGGATTGCATTCTTTATTTTTACAACTTCTACATTACTGATTGCTTATTTAAAAATGTAAATTACATAAAAATTTATCTTTCATTACTTTTATATTCCAAACTTAACACAATTATTAAATACTTGCACTCTACAAAAAACATTTTAATGATATTTAAATAACACATAACTACACATATCAATTGTCTTGCTTTTTTTTCTGTCTTTGCTAAACTTTATTAAAGTATCCGAGCTTTTAGCAATACTAAAATACACAAGATAACGTTTTGGATGTCATAAATTAAAACAATGGAGCATTTTACAGATTACAATGATGTAACATAAAATTCTCCATTGAAGTTTCCACTGCTGTTGTTATTTTATAAATTACTTATTATGCTTGAAATGTTTTCTACATCATCAATGACAATTCTTAGAATAACATTAGATGACTTTACAAAAATGGGAAACAAAGATTTATATACTCCTTGTCCAAATATAAAAAAGAAAAATATTTTAGTCAAGAAACAATTGCAGCAATCATTAATAAATGATAAGCAGCAAATTTCTAGTTCTGGTTTTCAACAGGCAATGATAGCACAAATGTGTTGGAAGAGGGGATAAAAACAAGGCAGACAAAGCTGGATTCTACATCAGTGCAATGTTAACAGCTTCACAGTGAAAACTGCAAAATGTGCCACTTGATGATAGGGATAATGACAAAAATATTAAAAGTATTTACAATTAATATTAAGCAATGAACTTAAAACTAGATGAATTAATGTAAATAATTTAAATAAATCACAGTTTATTATGTAATCTTTATTTCTGAGAAAAGTAAGCTGCAATAGAAAAATATTGAATTCATTTTGTTCTAATAATTACATTGAAATAAAACACAGCATAGAGTAAAATTAGGTCTATGAACACGAGAGAGAATCAATAAATCTGTAACTTGATACAAAAACGTTCTTGCAAAACATTTTGTAATAAATTTGGGTTCGGCTTATAAAATGCACACACTCAACATTTGAAAGTGGCTTTCCTTTTTAAGACTAAAACTTCTAAAAACTTAATGCTACACTTAACCTTCTTGATAATATTCTTTTCAATATAACTTTTGAGAAGAGAATTAGTATAAATAGTCGGACTTGTTGAACATGGTATAAACAAGTTTGCAATAGTTAATATTAAGCATAAATTACAACTACCTAAAGTTCTATCAAATTCAAGTTTCAAAGGATGATAGCAAAACTTTTCAGATTTTTTCCTAAAGAATGTTACTGTAATTTTCAAATAGTCAAGACATTCTTTCAGGTAAGATCTGATAAAATAATCATCTAAATCTCTTTCATTAAAGTAAATTCAATTTAACTTGTGTCAAAATTGGATGTTACGTTTCTGAAAGAATTAAGTTAATAGATGTAATATATTTTGTAAAAACCCTAATTACCAAATACAGGAGTGAAAAATACATTACTTTCGTTAAAGAAAATTTGATACTTTCATATAAACACACACATATATATATATATATATATATATATATGCAAATGTAACCCATTTGGATTTCTACTGCTAAATAAATTATTAGTCATAGATTTGTATCTCTATGATTAAGTCATAACAAATAACTGTATAGGTTTGGTTTTTTTTTTAATAAAATGAGCACCTAATTCAGTTGAAAAAAAATGAAAGTGAAAACACTGAGATTAAAACAAACATGGTGATCCCATAATTTTATTTACAAGATTTTCTTTTTCAAATCATGTAAAAAAAAAAAAAAAAAAAATCTGCTTATACAAAGATACAATTATTTATAAGTGTAATATTAGGCAATTAAATGACTAATTTTTCCACTTTATCATTCAATTGCCTAACATTGTTCCTATAAATTTACATATATTCTCCAATAACTATAATATGAAAATTAGTAAAAGAATATTTGGTGCTGAACCCATTAAGTGATATTTGAATTGTATATAGTGCTCAGTGAGGCAGTATAACATGCATTTAGCCAATATAGACCATAGTAGAGTAATACTTTTTTTTTTTTGTAGGGTTAAAGTGATGTTTAAGTCAATGAGAAGATTAATATATCAGGAATGCCTAAAATAGCTTTGCTGTAGAGAATTGGGTTGGATTAGAGGTTACTTTGGGTTGCCTATTTTCAGGTACACTTACACATTTTGCATAGTAATTTTACAAATTTTCTTTCAATGTAAAAAGAGAGTGAGTTATTAAAAATGAGCCAGATACTTTATAAAATCATAATACCTCACCTGACCCCTCAGGAACCTCAACCAGGTTATATTGGCAAGGTGTTTATAATGTTTAGTAAGCAGGTGAATCATTTTACTGCTTAAAGACAAAAAGAGAATATATTTTTATCTATATCCCCACAGAAATTTTTTTTTGACAATTTTCTCAAACCATGTGCCATGTTTTCCACCAAAAATTAATAATGTACTAACTACAAAAAAAAAAAAAGATTGTCACAATTTAATATCATCTAAACTATACTACAATAAATACTTTTTTCTTCCACTCAATTCCATGTAACTGATTTGTTTAACACCTATACCAAATAATTTTTGTTTAATATTAAATAATTAAATTCTCAAAAGGTCATTTTAAAATTATTAATATTTAAGTTTTATGAAATCAGAGAATTCAGTGATACAGATTTAAAATTGAAACTGAAAATTACATTTAAAAGTTTTACAAATGTCACTTGTCAGCAGTTGGTTTATGTAAATGCTCAAACTTAATAATGGTTCATAGTTATTTTAAAAACTAAACTCAAGTAGAATATTAATTTAAGAAATATATTCTTTATCCTGTTTACACATTAATGTTGATTCATATACTGATTTTACTTTTTATATCATGAAAAGAGTTTTTAAAAAATCTCTCAAAGTTTTATAGTTATTTTCCCAATAGAGTAATACTTGAACATCATAATTTAACTGGTCAATGAAAAATTGAAAGTCATAGTTTAGTTTAGCTCAACATCTAACATTAATTGATCTTAAGATTTTAGGAAAAAACATCTCTACTGTTTCTGAAATTATAAATTGCTCATTAAAAAAATAAAATAAATAAACTGGTTGAGGAGTCTATCACATTCAAAATACTTAGCAACAAATATTTTAAATATCATGAAATGTTAGATACTGTATCTATTTCTAGTCACCAGTTCCTTCAAAGTTATTCCCATTTTTAAACTAAAAATGGTTACATTTTTTGTTTTTCTATAAATTTTAATATCTTATATTTTCAAAAATATAGAAATGTATTAAAAAAACAGAAAAAACTTCAATTGTGAGTTCTGAAAATACCCTTACCAAGAAGTAGTTGAAAAATTGAGAAAATGCCTAAAAACAACACAAAGTATTAATTCTTTCAATTAGTCTACAAAAACTAAGTATCAAGTCTATAAGCTATAAATATGCAAAAGAAAAAAAATAATCAAGCAAATAAAATGTCAGCAAAATTAATGATTAGCTGTAATGTGTTAATTGAAAAGAGCAGAAGAAAGATGGAGAAGGCACTGTAAAAAAAAAAAATGTATAAAAAAAAAAAAAAAATCGTAATTCAGAATGCTTAGCAAGGTGATGAAAAGACTGTAATATCAGAAAAGCCACCTGTGCAACCACGCATGTGGGTTGTTGCTAACAGGGAAGAAAGCAAAAGCAAATTTAACTGAAAATAAACCCCTAAAGAGGTATTTACCTTTGGCTGATATCCAAGATAAAAAGAAAAAATACATGACAGATAAAGAAGGGAGGAAAAAAATAGAGGGAAAAAAAAAACGATTGTGCAGTTCAAGCAACAAGTTTTATACATACAGAAAAAGCAACATGACAAAAATAAGCTTAATCTGATTATAAAAATATGGAAATATTAAAGAGAAAAAAGCTTGTGGTTCACATTTGAAATTGTAGTTTGGTTTCAAAAACAAATGTTTAAAAAAATTATCAGGAAGAAGGTTAAAATCTGATTTAACATTAAGACTTCACATTTGTTAAAAATAAAGTTATTCAAAAATTTACAAATAAAAATAGACTAAAATGGGTGACCGGTGACAATGTTAATCAAGCTATTTATTATAGAAGATAGTTTTTTTTTTTTTTATATTATATATATATATATATATATATATATAGGATTAATACAAATAAAATTTCTCATTTAACTGATTGATGTTATATTATTCAACAGCTAGAATATAATGGTCCTTATTTTGGAGATTTTATTTTTCAAAATTTAAAACAAATATGCATGAAATTGTTCCATATAAATTGAAAGTAAGTCCTATTCCACCCAATCAATTGAGATATAGGATATGCTAAATGTTGAATTTTCTCCCCATTGTTCATAGGAGGTAATTTCTCTAAGCAAAGCTAAATAATAAATAGGTCATTGATTAACAGATTACCTTAATACACTATCATTAGATTAGTTCATTTTTTAAATAGTCAACTTGAAGAAGATTTTCCTTTATGTGTATACTCCTCCCTTTCACCAGTATTATTGGTGACACTCAATTTGCCTACAACTTCTAGGGTTTCATAATACGATGGTTTAGAGGACCAAGATTGGGATCATCTTTTTGAAAACTGATATTTATAACCAAATTTTCAAAGAACTATCTAATCCAGGATTAGATATACCTCCCATTTTTAATGACCCACAAAAAAGAATCACTCTTTATTACAACATTGTTAACTTTGTGACAAGAAATACAACAAAATTCATTGTCAGAAGGGGAAATGAAATAAGAGTGATATGAAAGTTATTTTACAATTGTACCACAATAACTTTACTTGTTAAATGTTTAAATAGCTTAAAATCATATCTACCATCTGTGGATAAAAAAATGATTTTAAATATATTATGGAAAAAAAAAGAAAGATAGACAGAAAGAAACAACAATTACATGCAAGTTGAATAAAAATTGTAATCTAAACTACATGAACTTAAAAAAAGCAAATCCACTGAGCATTCAAACTGTTGACCTCAAACAATTCTTTTTCTAAAAACGGCCATCTCTAAAATAGTATCTAATTTAGTGTAACCAGTGATGGTCAAATAATAACTATTAAAATAAAAATCAGAATAATAAGAGTTAAAGAATATAACAAACTTTACCTTCAGATTTGGAGACTGTGTTTGGTCAATGCAAAACCTTGTTACAATACTAAATTGAAGACTGCATGGAAAACACTCTCTAGGAAAAGAAACAAATAAAAAGTAAAGCATATCGGTAAATTGATATATTTTAAAAAAGATAGTTTATAAAAATAAAGTTATAGGTTTTTATTTTCATGAAAGAATTTTGAGGGATTCAAAAACAAATGCAATGAAAAATGTGTGTGTGTATGTTATAGTATCAAATATCAAAATATCTTTACATAATAACAGTTAGCAATAAATAAATATCAATGACATACTTCTAGAAATAAGACAAAAGGAATTATTATTAGGAAAAGAAAGTATTAAAAAGGTTAAAGTAAATGCTATAAGATAGTGACTGTTGAGGAAACTTTTCAAGTTCTGAATGATTCTTATTCATGAGCATAGCACTTTAAGTAGAAAATGGTTCAAAAATTGGAAACAATACATTAAATTTTATACTAATGATAAATTGTTTTCTAGTTTGATTAGGCTAAAGTGAGTATACAAAAAATCAAGTAAATAAAGATTCAAGAATGCAATTATCAGAATATTTTTAACAGATTGGATAAAAGAATGAATAAGAAATGTAAAAAGTGAGGTGAATTACTGAAGACTAGGAAAATGAAAGCAAATAGATCTTTATTTATTTTAATGACCTTGATTAAATTTATTCTGTTTTTATGCTCTCAAGATTAATCTTTAAAAAATATCTCATCATCCCTTCCTGTGACTATATTAGGAACACGTCTACTTTGTTAAATTTGATGAACTTCTAAATTTGTTACACATCTCCATGTTTGCATCTAAACATTAAATAAGACTGATGTCCACTAATTTAACAATCTCCATGAAAAATCATGCAACTCAGATTTTCCTAACACTGATGTTAGAACATACACCAGAAATAAACATTTATCTTTGTTAAGCTTTTAAATGCAGCTCATCATTTTATACCTTGATCCTAAACACAATACATTACTCAGAATTACAACCCAATACATGATATGAATGATGCATAATTATACTGTATGTTGGAATATATATACACAAACACAGAGGGTGTGATGGATAAAGTGTCATCTAAATTATGCAAGCATGAAAACAGACATCTCATTCTAACAGGTATATTTACCAAAATTACACAAAAATATCTTGAAATACTAAAGAGTAAATTTATTCAATAAAATCGCCATTGGCTTCAACCACGGCCTCCAGAAGATTTCAGAATCTCCTGCAACTCTTCTGGATGGTCTCCTTGTTTAAGTTGGTGAATACTGCCATAATCCTTGCCTTCAGTTCATCTTTGGTATTAAAAGTTGGTCTCTCAACCAACTGCACCCCACACATAATAATTAAGGGGGTTGGAATCTGGGGAGTTAGGTGGCGAGATGTAAGAGATGATGTGGTCACAGAAATTATCTGACAGCCATGACTGTGTTCTCCTGCTTTTGTAGCATTGTGCAGAGTCCTGTTGCCAGACATAGGGTCTTGACCCAGGGTAGCACTAACTCCTCAAGGCACTTGATGTAGGCAGTTTCCAAATTTCTGGTGAGTGAATTGTGCCATGTTGCTCTTTTTCTCACAGATGGTGCCCAACTGACCCTACTATATTAAACTGTGCAGTCAACAAAATCAAAAACCAACAACACTCATACATGAAATTAAAAATATAAAACCCATTGCACCCTGTATATGGTCACAGAGAATAAAGAATTATTAATACAAGGAACAAATTAATGAGCATTTCTTAGAAAACTAGAAAGTGTAGATGAATGTAATGAAAAAGCATCTAATACCTAACATTAGACACCCATGACACAAGATAGCAAAAAAATAATTCCTTTACAAATCTGCTTTTAATCAACTGTACTAAATGTAGAAATCCGTAGTCTTAATTCCATCTCACTAGAGATAACTATTATGAATATCAATAAATAGCATTTATAAAGTGCTCTAGAAATAATATATATATTTAATATATATTATTATATTTATAATAACATTTTCTCTGTCTGTATTTCTGAGATGAGCTATTGTAATTATTTACACTATTTACTTCATTTGGACTGTTGTCCTCATCTTTGTTGCCATATTCACGACGTTTTGTCTGTTGTACACTCCAGCCTTCTTCAAACTGAACCCTTTATTTCATTCACCGAGTTAGATTGTTCTAGTTCCATGTGCCATACCTCTTCCAGATGTCTCAGTTATCTCGCTTTAACTCAACTTTCCAAGTTTTTGTTCACCACTGCATTTATTGAACTCACAAAGTATTGATCCAATGCTTTTATCTACTGGGTCATTTGTCCTTGATTTTCTGTTTAATAAGTTTCAAAAACAAGTAGAAAACTATTGAAGAAAAAAAATATCTTCATTACTTACCGAACTGTTTCTAAAGCCTTTTGGATTTTGGCTTGAATCGATCCCAACACATCAGTACCAGTCTTATTAAGAAGTTTAGTGAGCAGTGTGTTAAGCCAATCATTAAGTTCCTGCCGGTGTACAGTAATTAGAAGCACCAAGACATCCAAGAATATACTGAGAACCTAAAGATAAAAAAGAAACATCAATACAGGGCTCTACGGACAAATTTACCTTTAGTTGACCTTTGACAACTAAATATTTTCATTTACTAGCCAAATCCATGTTATTTCACTCTAATGTTATGAATAAAACAATTCCAGTTGAAGTTTTGTTTTATTTTCTAATTCTCTAAAACAATACAGACAAAATTTATGGGAGGAAATTTAGAAATTTCAAAAACAATTACACTCAGTGGTACTGTTACCTGGCAAATATCACTTAGAATAATTCAGTCAACTGACAAATACATGTTTGAAGATCTCATCAGTTTCAATATTAGTTACTAAACTTGAAACAACAACCTCATAAAGACATTACATTCACTTCAATTGTTACCTGGCAAACTTTGAAAGGTGTCATTTAGAAATATTCAGTAAACTTACTGACAAAATTTAAATGCAAATTTGAAGTCTTCAAGATCTCATCAGTTTCAATATTACTAAACAACCTCAAACAAAAAGATCATAACAACAACCTCAAACAAAAAGATCATAAATACATTATATTGAGTCTAGAAACTGTAGAACTGTTTACAGTTACCTGGCAAATATCACTCAGGATAATTCAGTCAACTGACAAATGCAAGTTTGAAGATCGCATCAGTTTCAATATTATTAAACTTGAAACAACAACCTCATAAAAACATTGCATTCACTTCAACTGTTACCTGGCAAAGGTGTCATTTAGAAATATTCAGTCATGATTTGCAGTTATTGTAACACTCTTAACAACAGGTTTTTACCTTATTTTCAATTTCCCTATCAGGTTGGTAAATATCACTCAGAAATATTAACTATATTAACTATAGTAATGCTGATCTAAGATCTTAAAGTGAGACTGGAAAGCGAAATGTCCAGATGTTCTGGCAAACACATACTGTGTCTTTGTGTTACTGACATTGAACTTATTTCTATGTTTCAAACTGAAATTTTATCTTTTAAAATCTATAACTCCATTTGCCCAATATTGAATTGCATTTACCTTTTTATTCCAATTTCCAGTCCCACTTTAACACTTGCTCAATTTGAATTGTCAAATCAATAGCTTGTGACTAACTCTTTTTGTTTTCAAACAGTACTGCTTTGTCCTTACACTTTCAATCAACAGACACAATGTTAGCTGGCCAGTCACACTGTCCTGGCCCCCCAGCAATCCTTCTCCTGCTGTTTGCCATCCACTTGTCAATGGATTTCTCTGGGTTGGATTCAGCCAGATCTGGACATTCAGAAGAAAGCAAGATTAAGTTTGACAGTCTCTGTACAGACAAGCTGCTCCGTATGTCGCTCTTTATTCTCTTCTGTGCAGAAAAGGCTCTCTCACACTCTGCAGAACTGATTGGAAGAGTGAGTATTATTCTCACAAGATGAAGTACATTGCAGAAGTCAGTCTTGTATGGGTCCTTGGTCAGTAGGATTTGCCACAGATCAGAATAAGACTTGTTCCTGAAAGTATTTGCAACAAAGAATTTCATGTGTCTCCATTCCGTCTGAACAATTTCTATATTGCATCCTGCAGCCACAAGAGGTTTTCCAAACCAGTCACAAATAATGTCTATTTCATGATTTCCAAAATGGACAAGTTCCCTTTTGCATTCTGGCCATGTGTCATGATTGAATACCTTAATGAAACTTTTCACCACACCTTGAGCATCTACACTTGTATTTGTTCCCAACAGATTTTGAAACCTTGACTCTAGTTCTTTGATTGTAATGTCAACTGTAGACTCAACATGCTTCTTTAGTTTTTCTTTGGCCTCATAAACAGGACTCCCGGTCATTTCAACTCCTTGAAATTTGGGATTACCCTGCAAATTTTCAGACTGTTGTTCTTCAATACACAGGATAAACTTTTCATACATTCCCCCAGGAATGTATTCCTCCTTCATACTTGAAACAGTTTCCATACAATCCTTAATTGATGCAACTGCTACAGGAAGAATCAGATTGTTTGTCTGTAGTTTTAGACTGAGCAAAGCTAGCTTGCCAAATAGATCGGATATGAAATGGCAAAATGCAGTGAATACAAGATCCTTCAATTGCTTATTTTCTTAGCTCTACCAGTAATGTCTGCATTTGATGATGTTGCTGCAAGATTTTCCATACGAGTGTAGACTGCTGCGTATTGACCATGATCCTTGGCCAAATGACTATCTTTCTTTCCTTGGAGAAAGACTCTCATTTCCCTGTCTACATGGGGAATCCATCTGGTACCCTTCACTGGCGCTGGTGGATAGATTCTTGCTTCAAGTTCTTCTCCATTGATCTTTGAGTTCTCTCTTGCTCTTTGGACTGAAGTGGTAAGTCTTCCATATCAAATGTAGACAATCATTGACAGACTGCATAATAGGAGTCTGTTTTTGTAGTTTCAATAGGGCTAATTCAAATCTATGTGCCATACAGTGAAAGTCTATGAGACGGGGAACTTCCTGCCTTAACAGTGACACAACGCCATTCCTCTGTCCTGTATTCACATTTGCCCCATCTGCACAAAACCCAACAATTCTCAATGACATTTCATCATCACTGATCCCCACTTTTGAAAGAGCAGATTTAGTAGCAGAGATAATGCCTTTAGCATGGCCATGTTCAATGGCAATAACTTCAAGTTTATTTTCTGCTTTGCCATTCAACCCTGTTCTCACATAAACTGCTTCATTTTCTGACACAGAGCTGTCAGTGGCGCCATCAATCATAACTGACACATAATGAGAGTCACTAATAGATTCCAATGTCTCATCTCTGATCATGCTTGCAATAGTAGACATAATTTCACCACACCTAACATTGTTACTGTATGCAGGTGTCACAGGTAGCTCGTTTTTGTATTGAAGTAAGAGTAGGTGCTTGAGTTTTGTAAAGGCCATTTCTTCCTTCCCTATACAATAAACTGTGTTAAATTTAACTTTCAAATCTGTCAAATCCTTTTTGTTTGATTTGATTTCTGCATCGAGAAATTTCTTGGCAATGTGAGACTTTTCAATTGAGTGTTTTCTTGTTTTATTAATGATAAAGTCACGGATCTTGCCATGTCTAAGACTTTTACTATGGGCAAGGACGTTTTCATGTTTAAATTTAGTACTAACATCTACAAAATCAGTTTTTCCATCCAAAGTTGAACCAGCCCTACGACAAAAATCACAATACATCGCGTTATTTTTCTCTATCGTAACAAAGCCAGGCGAAAGTTGACAACCAAACTTGTCGCAATTCTCATACAATGAACGGCTTACTTTCATTTTGTGTGTCATCATTACTTTGTTTATCATTCGGGGCATTCTTTTGAGTCTTAGTTTCATTCAGCATTTCTACTTTGTTCGATTTTACGAAGAAAGCCGATATCGGCTTTAGTAGGGTTTTCTTCATTGCCATGTTTCTTTAAATCTTTGCACATGCTCAGAAAGACAAATGAAACATGAAACTGTGAATAAAATGTGTACTGCCATCATCAAAATGCCAATTAATATCTTGTATATTGTTCTATTAAACCTTTTATTGTTTAAATAGTTTGACTTTGCTCGTTTTATTTAAAAAAAAAAAAAAAAAAAAAAGGGTTGAACAGACATTTTTTACTCAGTAATGAGCTTTGGAAGATTGTCGGTGAAAAAAACACAGTCGCCAAAAGATAAGCGTTTTATTATTTCTAGTCGGCACTTGAAAAAAATCACTCACAGATGCGACTGTTTCACTCGCAACGTAGAGCCCTGCAATAATATACAAAAACCAGAAAAACCAAAAATAGCCAAGACAACTTACCATATATCAGCTTATAAGATGTCCTGTGAAATTCTGCTATGCTAATTTAGATTTATATCTATATTTGCCAGTTAATCCCTTCTCTCCCACTAACCAATTAAGGTAACACTACCTCCATCTGTAAAAATTTGCTTTGTATTATTTAGAAGAGGCTAAAATTATGGACAGAAAGAACATAATAGTAATACTATTATAATATTTTGAAAGGTTTATATATAAGAATAATATTAGTTATGGTAATTGTATCTTTGTTAGCAGCTGGTTAGTTTTAAAATGCCAGTTATTTTCATAACTCAGTTTTTCACATTTATATTATCTTTATTTTATATATATATATATATATATATATATATATATATATAATTTCTCTTCATCAGAAGATAGTATTGATATGTGAAACTGGCAGTTACCATGAAATGTTGATTCCTAATCTGCACTGTTTATATATAGAAATTCTTCAGTTATTGGCTAGAACTCTAGTTACAGTAATAACCTGTTAGATTCATCATCTTTTAGAAAAATTATAACTGGAATAGAGAAATAAAGCAGATGAGGTTAGGTCTTTATAGATGGTTATATATTCATACATTTAAATAATAATACCCATAAAATTTAAATATAATATTTCTAATAAAACTGTTAGCTTACCTTGTTACTAGGGTCGTGGAACATTCGTGTGAAGATCTCAGTTACTTTTCTAAGTTCAACCCGACTAGAAAAAATATGGAAGAATGTGTTTTAGCAGAGAGTAAAAAAGGAAAAAAAATATTTCAGTATCCATTATCTTGTTTTTATTTCTTGTTAATATCCTTATCATGCAAGCTATTGGTTAACCAGTGTAATAATACTATGAAAAAAAATGTCATATTAAGGTAACTTCAGAACTAGATGAATTTTATATTCAAATCTGATTTTTGGGTGCTCATAGATGTCATATACTGCCAAATCTTTTTTTAAGTATTAACTTATAAAACTATCCTGGTTACACTTTGATGACCAAATAGATTTTTTATAAAAGCTTGTCCTATTAAACACAAAAAACTTTTAAAATAAAATACAAAAAAAGATAAATCTTAAAGCAGTTGATATAATGCAACTTGAATTCAGAAACTTAAATAGTTTAAGAGTAGCATGGCAATAGATCATTTATAGTAATAAAATAGCAGTAAATTAAGAGATATCTATTGCTGAGTATATTCATTAAGCAACTGAAAACAGAATTTGTACAAGTCAATAATGTATATATAATAAAAATGCTATGTCAATAATATCAAATAGAAAAATATTTTAGTATTAAATATTTTAAAATAATGATATTAGTTATATAGGGGGGGATAATTTTATCAAAAGAAGATATGTTTTAAAAAAAAAAAAAAAAAAAAACACTTGCTTACTGATATTTACTTTTTCTTTTTAAATCTAGAACTGAAACCTGAAAATTGCTAAATGTTTTCTTTAGTATGCTTTCAAAACTTCATGAATTAGAATTATGTCAAAATAAATGAACAATAATTACTAATAGCTTTTTAAATACTCTACACAATATAATAGATTTTTATATATTTGTTTATCATCAATTATACAATAATAGTAATCACTAAGAAAGTTCAGATCTTTCAATAGAGAAACTGCATTAAAAAGACTTATCCAAGTGTGGATAAGTTTTAAAACATATCCAAGTGTGGATAAGTTTTAAAAATTCACACATTTATAAAAATGTGAAAAAAATAACTTGGTAGTGTTTTATTTGCCAATAACATGTAGAAATCAGTCAGTTAGGTGCCATGCGTGATACACGCATAGGTGATCTTTCGATACATGACTGACAAGGCAGATTTTTTTTTCCCACAGTAGGTTGGCATTTCTTTCTGTGGTAAACCAGTTGCCATCCAAGGCTATAGAACCCGGTCTGCCCTGCTATTTACCCATAGCTGGGGGGAGAAGAAGAGGATTCATACCTTTCCCAATGGTATTAGCATGTAAATGAATGTAATGGATTCGACTGGAATTCGAACTCGGCTCTCCGATTCCTCAATCCGAGCCACTATGCATTACTCCACTGTGCCTGTAGAAATAGTTGTCACAAAACTTTCTATTGAAAGAATCAAACAAATACTTTGAGAAAATTTACTTTAAAATGCGAGCCCCAATCAGCACATTTTTGAGTCCATAAAGGCCTTCCTTGCGGTCAGTATGAGAGCTACTGGAGAGGCTACATATGATTTCATACACATCCTGTAAAATAAAATATACAAAACTATAATATGGACAAAATAGAGCAACAAATAGACCAATATGAAATGCAGATTTTAAAAAAGGTTTTAAACTGAAACTGTATTAAATTGTGTATAGTTTCAAGAGAAAAAACAATTTATAATATATTTATTAGACAACTGTATATTGTAGAGAATCATAGGTTAGAGCAAATGTTGTATTTGGAGTAAATATCTCTTTACTAAAAACATTACAATTAACATATGCAAAGATATTTTGCAACAACTATTTTATCTCACTTGAAGCAAAACAAGTCAGTTTTAAATTAAGAGAATGATTTTAAATGAATTCAAATTTGGTTACAAAGCCACAGATTATAATAAATAACAGATTTTATAGGCTGATTTATTATATAATTATACAGAGAGGGCCCAACCTCTTGTATTTTTTTTTTAAAAAAAAAAAACAAGTAAACACTTTCACAAAGAGCACAAATTATCAATACAGACAGACCTTGATATAACATGATAGAACTGCAAGAAGGAATATAGTGTTACAAGTCTTATATTGCAACAGCCATACAAATTTAATTCAAAACCTATTTTAATTTTTTTTTAAATACATTTATGAGTGTGGGCTACTTTATTGAACCATGCAATCAGTAGAAGTGGGTTAGATGGGCTGCAACAAGCCACACAGTAAGATGTGTATATCATACAGCAAGCATTTAACTGAATATTACTACAGAATATATTCAAAATTTGATCCAAGGAAATATTTTCATCTTATACCATACTGTTGCAACAGGTATACCATTATCTTGGTATATTTTTGGCTTAAAACAAACTATATTTTGAAATATTTTCAACTGTGAAAAAATCTTTTAAATATTGGGAATCAAAACTTCATGAAGCTGAATCAGAATTTATCATATTGGACTATGTTATAATGTTGAAGTCTGTCTGTATTTATACTTAAAGATACTATGTTATTTAATCAGTATCAAAAAACCAAACATATAATCTGTTGTATGACTATGGGTTCAAGATGTTGCAAAATAGGCATGGGGCTATCAAAAAGTTCTCAGCCTAACCCACTTTCCAAATTCTGACCACATGATAATTTTTTTTTTTGGGGGGAGAGATCTTAGTTGGGCCGAGAACTTTTCAGCAACCTCCTCAAATATGAATTAGTAAATATACAAAAACCATGAAATCAAATCAAAACCAATTAGAAAGGATTTATTCACACAAAATATACTTTTAGGGATCTTTGGGAAAGTTTCTGGTTTTTCATTGATAGTAAATCCAGCAATGACCAGGAGCACTGCAACGTTTTTTCTTTTTTTTTTTTTTAATAACTATTATAGCAAGGCAGAATTTCAATTTAAGTTTATTATGCAGGTTTTTTCAGTAAAGAATTTCATAAAACTTAAAATACTGAAATATTAATAATATACCATCCTACAATTAAAGCTACATGATACAATTTCACCATCATTTTTGCCTAATATTCAGTCATAGGCCATATTTTCTTCTTTTTTTTTTTTTTTTTTTTTTTTTAAAGCAACAACCACCAAGAAGCAAAACTTTCCAAGTGTTGGATTCAGCAGAAAGCAAGGATAAAAAAAATGATGGAAAAAGCAGAAGCAGTATACAGCTTCAGGTTTTTCACTAAAATATGAAAATTGAGAGAATGAATAATTTATAGTCAGAAATTATATAAATTTATTATCAAAACATCTTCATATATTCAAAGATATAGAATTCCAGTATAGGATCTATGGTTCATCAGCATTTAAAAAAAGATCATATAATACCAAATACCACATTTTTTGTCAAAAGATTTTTTTTTAAAGCAATAAAGATTCGGCAATTATAACTCTCTCCTTTGTTATTTCTCATAAATTTGATTACAGATAAATCTTAACACATGCAATTTATTAAAATACAATCTTTCAGCAGTAAAAGATGGGTACACACATTGAACTCTTTTAGAAAATGTAGTGAAAGCATATTCCATGCACAGTTAAGAAATGGTTGATGCACTGATTAGTCTGTAATAAGCCTTTATTAATGATATTCTTGTTATGAACTCCAAGAACATATTCATCATTACACGTTTTTGTTATTAATGTTATCTACTTTCATCATTTTGGTCAATTTTTTTCAGTTTTTTAAGGCTGTCTAATATTAAGCTATTAAACTGTGAGAACTTAAAATAAAGTAGCTGTGAATAAGACTCAATTCTACATTCCATGTATCAGATATTAGTCTTTTAGAAGAAATATCTTACCTAAAACTTCCAAAACTCATGATTACACTGGATTCTCATCTCTTGCATAAATTCTATTTCATTCTTACAATTTACAAAAAAAAGTTGTGAAAACTACAAAAATGCGTGTGAATTGTGAGTTATCTCAAATCAAGAGCAATATTATTACAACAAGGTAAGCAACAATACAGTGTATAATTAAATCAAAGGAAAGAGAGGATTGCAAAAACACTAAAGATGAGAACCCTGCCTAATCATGACAGTAGCTTAAGATGGCACTCATGACAGATAAGCTCTCTTTGTCAATGATAAACAATTTTTATAACTAAAATAAAACTAAAATTATTATGATTAAATAAATATTAATAGCTTGTTTGTTATAATAGGATTTATTCTATTTTCAAATATGTTTTGTTACATCATTCTAGTTTCAACATAATTCAAGTAACTTTTTTTTTCTATATAATGTGCTTAAAATTCAACTTCAAAAAACAAAAAAAGAATTTGTGATACAACAGAATCATTTTATGTTAACATTAAAATTGTCTTATATCAAATTTTAAAATAGCAAGGGAGAATTCAAAATCTTAAAGAGATTTTATTTACCTAAAATATATAAGCATAAAACTACTTTATATCACATGCTTTGAAGAATACAATCATGCTTTCCAAATAATAATCACTCTGAGAATAATTCATTTAAAACAAAGAAAATGTTTTTCAATACTATAAGACTAATTGTGTTTATGAAATGAATTCTGAAGGAATGCTAAAAAGTTGTCAACCCAACCAAGAAACCCTTAAGGGAAAAAAAATCCTAATGTTTAGCTACTTGGTCAGATTTTGGGAAAGGAGTTGAGAACTTTTCAGCACATCCACTTAAAAGAAACAACACAAAAACCAAGTTTCATTTACAAAAGGCTTGTTTTAGCAGACTACATAATTTTAACTTCAATTTACATTTACAGCAACACTCACTGCAAAATGGGAAACAATTGCATGTTTAACAAATACAGATCATTGGACAGTGTAAAAAACATGAGATGTTACACAGAAGAATAAAAAAAAGTGTCAAAAACTCAGAAGAACCAAACAGATTAAAAAGTAATTGTGAAAATTTAAGTTAAATAATATTAATAATATTTGGGATATAATTTGTCAACCAACATAATGTGCTCTACAGCAACAGAAGTCAACTTGACATCAGGCATTGATGTTCTTGGTGTTCATTTCACATTGGGGCAGAACTGAGATAAATGAGCATAAAAACTGCATGCAAAAAAAAAAAAAAAAATATGGAAGAAATTAAAGTCGGGGGGGATTCCAAAACCACCACAGAATAATACATTTATATATGTTGTAAAGTGAACAAAAATAAGAGAGGACTTATGAGAAACATTAGAGAAATTTAGTGTAAGAAAAATGTTGCCAAATATATAATAGTATTTTTTTTGTTAAGCTTTACTTTTATACACCTAATTTATATACTGTTACATTTTAATATACCTGTAGGTTTTAATATTCTTACAAGTGCACATTTTCAAAATTTCTCATGCCATTAAAAAGCACATGTACACAAATTGAATTAATCCTTTATACCCAATCAGTTCTTTAAAGTGCAAATATGGCTTTCTATAGGAGGAAGGAGGGTGCTGAAAATTTATCAGCCAGACCAAGAAATCCTTAAAGATCTTTTTTTCTTTTTAAATCTGTTATTTGGACATTTTGTCAGGTGTTATGGAGTGGTCAAGCTGAGAACTTTTCAGAAACCCATTGTTTTCCATATAAATAAAACAAATGAAAAATGTTCATGATCCATGTTATATACCTTTATAACAAACTCATATACTGTCAAGAAATTGAAACTAACTACAAGCATTAATTGATATGAGTTACAAATAAATACATTGTCTGTCCAGAAAGTATCCAACCATTTTGAATGTCAAAATCACATTGTGACGTAACTTAGCAACCAAGCAAAAGGACTTTATTGCACATGCATAAACAGAGACTCTCCTGTGGAGTTATTCAGCCTGCAATATGATACCATTGAGCAAGCTTATGTAGTGTATTACCATTGCATTAATCATAACAATGCTCCTACCCAGTTTTTATATTTCATGTAAATATTTTTTCTTTTTTTTTTTGCAAACTACAACATCTCTGATTTGTCACCCCCCCCGCAAAAAACTCAAAAGGACATTGAAAAGGAGATTTCATACCAAGATCAATGAATCAGCAGATCACAATGCTAAAATGAGACTTGGCAGACCGTTTTGAAAAGGGGAAGTGACAATGGAATAAGCACATGAAATCCAAAAGTGAGTACCTTGAAGAAGACTAAGGTGTTATTGCACTACATGAGCCTTTTTCTTTCTTTTTTTTCTTTAATAATATTAAATAGTTGGATGTTTTCCAGACAGATCTCATGTAATAGTATTTCAGGTAAAAAACAAAACAAAAGGAATTAGATTCTATCTCAAATGATTGTCCAGATTTTTTTTTAAAAAAGTGGATTTATAACATAATACACACAATCTATGAGCAATTAATATTTAAAATCTGTGTGTGTGTATAGAACAGATCTCAATAACAATTATAAAGATGATGCTCCACAAAAATAAATAAAATAAGTATTTAATTACTGCCCATTTGATGCATCAACGAACAGAGAATCATAAGTGATTGACAACATACATAATCATGCTTGGATATACTGATGAATTGATAAACATTAAAGTTCTGATGTAAAAATTTATTATGGCATACATAATTTCTGTTTTTGTTTACCAACTTTATTTTTCAAAATATTACGAGTGGCTCCCCAAAAAGAAAATTACTTATGCTTCAACCTAATAGATTATTATCCCTTCTACCAATATTCTATAGTCTTCCAAACACATTCTTTGGTCCAAATGAATATAAATAAGACTATCCTTAAAAACTGTAATAATTAATATTTGTTACCAAATCTTTTATCACAGTGACTTTTCCATATAAAGAATAAATTCTCATAATATAAATCAATACTATATACTTATAAAAGATTTATCATTTTCTTCTTGATACCTATTACTTGGAAATCTATTTCTATAAAAACTTGTTTTCACACAATTATTAATAATGTGAGTTATATATCTTAGAAAAAAATCAGAAATCACAAAACTATGAAGTGCCATAGCTTAAATCAGTTTTAATAGAATTTCGGTTGAAATATGTATTTTATTGAAGTTTCTAAATAAAAGTGTTAAAAATGATTAACAATAACAAATATACTTTGATGTAAATTGCAGATATTCAGAAGGATGTTAATCCAAGTTACAAAATCCAAATCACTATGGTAGCACACTTGGGGTAATTGCAAATGCACTTTAAAGCATGTTTACAGAAGATTGCAAAGGCAATAAAAGCTTATCAGGTATAGTAGATTAATCCAGTATATGTTTTATTATATTAATAACATTGTAAAGAAAAAAATGCAGGTACTTCACTGCAAGAATGAGGAGTCTATAGCAATACTTTTACTATGTATCTTCTGCTCTGAAAAACATTGTATATTTCTTAAAATTAATTAAGTTTGAGGTCATCTGATCAGACTGCAACAATAACATTTGCAACCTTTCTATCTTAAAGCTTAAACAACATACAATGCAATAATTTTGATATATTTAATAGACTGTATTCCATTTTGTCAGGAAAATTCTCATTTTTATTATTTTATTTTCACAGCAACACAATATAAAACAATTTTTTTTTAAAGTAGTTACCACATTAAAATAGATTCATGAAATTTTGCTAAATAATTTAACATTATTTTGGAAGTCAAAAAGGCTTTTCAGAAATTAATTCCCAAATTTGTATATATAATTTAACAAAAGCAAGAATTTATAAATTTATTTGTATTAAATTATATGAAGAAAACATTATCTTGAACTAAATTAGAATAAATACATTCAGTTCAAGATGATTTTATCTCTGATTTCCATTGATGCAATTGTTAGTGCTGCTGATCTAGATTCTGCAGAGCAAATACTTCATCTTGGTCAAAGGGAATAACTTTTCTTCTTCACAGTAATTTGAAGAAAAGCAGGATATTCCATTAAATCTTCAATGTTATTTATGGTTATTTTAAATTTTATTTTAAATTTTATTTATGGTTATTTTAAATTACTCTTTATAGAACTTATAAAGTAGCAGAAAACTTTCTTTTTAATTTTAACATGTACAAGATTTGTCAGCATCACTAGATTAAAAATAAACAGAAAACTGAGCTGTAATCATTTTTTTCTGAGGCTGTTCACAGAAGAAACATTTTCCACTGTAATACAGGTTAATAGAATCCACAAGAAAAACAGTATCTCTGAAACAAAGTGAACAATACCACAAAACAATCCAGGCAGGAAGCAGCATGCAGAAACTTAAGTTGGGGTAAAATATACAAAAAAGAAAACTACTTAGTAAGAGAAACAAGAAATCAATAGCAGTCTCACTGGTCTGATTACCTGTTCATTTGCACTAGACTCTTTGCTTTGAGCATCTCCTCTCTCCAGTAAAGAAAGCAAGGAATATCGACAAACTGTTAGTAATGCCAGATCAACAGACACACACACACATTTACATTTATGCATCCGCTACATGTATGTATAGGGAATTAGGAAGAGAGAATGAAGGGGAAGGGCAGAGAGAAAGATGATAAACAAGCAATAAAAAAAAAATATCACATCCAAACAAATAGTTATGAAAAGCTGAAAGAAAAATGAACTTTCTTTAATGAGAGCTGCAGGACTTTAATGAATCCAAATAATAGCATTTTAAAAAAAAATGTTAAATTGATTCAAATTGTGGATAAACCAATAATGGAAGCATTTAATTGTAATAACTTAGAAAGAATATGAAAAGGTTAGAAGTCAATAGCAAGAACTAAAGCAAAAAAACATAAGAATTCATTTTTTAAAAAAAAAAAAAAAAAAAAGTGTGTTTCCAAAAAAAAGTGAAAATTGAGATTTTTAGTTCCTTTTAAAAGAAAATTGGAAATAAAATGGCTAATTTTCTTTATGCTTCAAATTCAAGTGAGAAAAAACTATCAATATCATAGAAAGAAAGGCTACATTTTTATATGTTGCCATATTTCACCACACAAATAAACAAGTTTTGTTTAAAACCCCCAAAAAAGAAAAAAAAAAATGCTTAATGTCAAACATGAGAGCAAAAGTGAAAAGAAAAAAACAATACTCACTTCAGATGTACGACTATATGAGCTGAAAGAGCGTTCTGAACATAAGCTGGAAGTTTCACTTCCTGCATCATCTGAATCATAGCTTTCATATCGTTTCCGTAAAGACAACTGTTGCTAAAATTGAACACAAAAGTAAATTAGTGAAAGCAAAAATATACAATAGCTAATCTAAGGTTTTGGAAAGTAGGCAATAAAAATTAAGGTAAAGTATAAAAAAATGAAAGAAAAAAAGTATCAAAATTTATTCATAAACAATACAAGCCAATATAAGAATGATTCAAAGGCACTAAATTCTTACAAAGAATATGCGACATTACAATATTCAAATATTTGAAAACTTTAAAAATAATAATCCAATGTTAGCATTTTCTACAAATAGTAATTTAGGTTGGGATTTGGGATGACACTAAATAATTAAAAACTTTTGCATTAACAATGAGGATGGAGAATGTAAAACTATGATACAGTGAGATAAATTAATCAGTTGTTGCAAAGAGAGGAAAGAAAGGGTAGAAAGTAAAACTGTGAGGTGGTTTACATCTGTCCAAAATTTCTAGAAAAGGTAACAAAAGAAAACTTGTAAATGTAGTACAACATGCTAAGGAACAAAAAAAAAATTGGACTGGCTTCTAAAGCCATCGAATATATACACACACAATGCAGCCACATATACAAGATATAGTTTGTCCCTTCCTATAACTAAAAAAAGGTGAAGGAAATAGGCTTAAGTAACATCCTTAAAATCCATATAATCCTTACTGTTACAGAAATAGCACTCAAGCATAAAGTGGGAGAGCAAGAAGCCGAAACTACATAGAATTGATTCATAAATCTGAAACCTAAAAATCATGGAAATAAAATATAATTATTGGCAAATACAAGTGGCAATAGTTATTTATGGAAATAGGAATTACAATGGAGATACAAAAATTGTTACATTAATAGAAAGAGAACTTGACCTGTAAATGTAAAGATTTAAACTTATGAGAATATATATACTTATTAAAGAATAAAAGAATTACCAAAGAGGTTTTAATTGGAAATATCAATTAAGTTAAACTGAACATCAGTTCATATATTAATGATGTTAAAGGTTAAAATCCATGTTTATCAATTAACTGGTAAGATTCTATAAAATGATTCGATTTTAGTTAATCTACAATAAAAAGGCAAAAGCAAAGCTTGTGGTGTGCATATACATTCTTTAATTGTGCAATTTCTGGTTGTTGTACAGATAACAAAATTAAGCACTACCAAAAGATAAAAGCCTTTATGAAATTTTTCATAAATGAAAACAGCTACAAGAAGAAGAATTAAAAAGACTAAGTTTATATCAGATACAAATAAACATATATTACTAATATAGACACAATTTGGCCACTGAGAAAAGCAATGGTGTTCTGAAATAATGCCAACAGTGTGCCAAGAGGTCTGACAAATTCCAAAGCAAAATGGACAACTATCATAAAGTAATCAAATATCATGCTGCCATTGTATTTTATTCTAATTATTCTTGTAATGTGACATAATTCAAAGTACGGGTACAATAATATTTTTAAAGGCACTTAACAACAATTAAAAAGGAATAAGAAAGTGTGCTGCCATACTTGCTTTGTCTTGGAAGGCTGTGTAGAAAAAGGAAGTTTTCTTAGTCAAAAGACATCAACAGATATTAGTAAAAAGGCTAACAAGGATACCTATCCAGTAGTCATAATTCTCTTTAAATTTTCAGATTGTAGAAAGTGAGTAAAAACAATTTTGCAATCAGAAATGGTAGCAGGAAACAGATTATAGTGACCTTTCACATAAAATGACATAATTAGGTCTTCAGTCAACAGGAATGAACCTTTTTATTTTATTTTTTTATTTATTTTTTATTTTTTTGAGGTTCCCTTTCAGAATTCTTGCCATATAAGAGGGTAAAATTACACAATTATTTAATGGAAAGGCCCCTAGCTACTATCAAGACTCTAGGTTGACTTTATATTTACATTTATTTATTATAAGTAATATTCAGGAAGGGTAGCTTAAGAAGAGTGAAAGATCAAATAGATCTCTCTCCAACATGCACAAAACAATCTTTGTTCAATTCCAAATACAAGACAATAAAGAATTAGGTCTTTCTTTAAATCATTTTAAGAGTATTATTTCAAAGATAAGAGCCATTAGTATTATTAATTTAAATTGAATTATAACAAACCAAAATAGAGAAATAAAAATAAAAAAAAAAGGTTGCATGAAATCAATATAAAGTATTACTGGATAGAAAAAATTTTCAATGAAAATCATGCAGAAAAAAGAAACAAAATATACTTTCCATGCTAAGATAAAAACAAAAGTTTGAACTGAACCATACACAAGAAAGGATTTTAATGATTCTAAAAAGATTTTTCAAATCCCAAACAGTTGAGCAATTTATACCCAAATAAACTGATTTTTTTTTTTAGTTTATTACAGCAAGAACTTATCACATTATGTTAATCTAGAATTCTTTCCTGCCACACCCAATCAATTACTAGAATTACCAAAGACAAACTATTAATTATATACTTAGGCAGTCTCTATTCTGACTAGTTTGCATAACTGCTGTTCAACCTTGAGCATTAAGAAAATTCTCCAACAAAAATTAAAAATAAAATTTTGGTATTAAAAACTTTGGTAAATAGTATCTAAATGAACTAAATATACAAAAAGATAATAGAAATTTTCTATGCTATAATAGAGTTGTAGAAAGAAAGTTGGAGTTTTCTAAAATCTATTAATAAAAAAAAAAAAAAAAAAAACATACCTGGAGATGAAATTTGGAGTGTGTCAGCTAATAAGATAAAAATATTGACAAAAATAAGTGAGTTTCTAAAAGCCAAAAATCTGTTAGAGAATGGCAGAGATTGATATCAAATCTGTTAAGTAAAACACCAGGCAAAGCAGTCAGAATTATTATTAAAGGGTTCTACACTAACAAACAGACATTAACAATTTGATTTCTAAAACAATTATAAGCCACAAACAATAGATTTATATATAAATATAGATTAACTAATTCAGTTACTATATCTGTAAACTAATAAAATTTTAAGATCTCTACACAGTTAAATACTAATCATTAAACTAAAAACACAAGATTATTTAAAAATCAATATGAGACTGATATTAATACAAAATATATGAACTAAGTAGAAATAAGTCATTTTCTTAACAAGGCTCTAAAAAATACTTTTAATTAGAACAAAATACTTTTTTTTTGGTATTGATGATTTATTCATTTCAATTTTTTTATAATTATGGTTTTGTTTGACTAATTTTTGTTTAGAAGCCACTCTCAGTTACAACGCTATCATAATGCTCCACAACAAAATGGAGTATAGTAAGTAGTATTTTATCAACAAAACTTAGACAAGTTTATTTATAAAAAGAAAGGTATAAAATATACATTTCCAATACAACTTCATTAGTAAGATCTTTCAATATTTGGAACTATTGGATACTATATAGTCTACTTCAGTTGATTATTTTCTTAAAAAAATTTTGGTAAAACTGTTTTGATTTTCTGAAGACTATTAGTAAACAAGGCATACATAAGAAATTAAAAACAAAACAAAAAGATTTCAACTAGTAACAGTAACTAAAATATTTAAAAAATTAGATTTGAAATCTAAATTAGTTTCACAAGGACAAATAATCTTCAAATGAATCCTAAAGTTAGATTTTGTATAAATAAAAGTCTAGTAAAAATGAAAAATCTTTTGTTGATCAGCTTTTATGAGAAAAAGACAAAAAATACATGCAAAAGAGAAACATGCACAGCAAAGAAATGGGAAGGCAGCCATTCTCACCTGGCTGAAGCCTCGTTGAGTTATATCTCCCTGAAAAGAAATCACACACCAAGTTTCACATAAGGGGGGGAAAACAAACATACATGACCATTCAAATATCAAATACACAGATGTAATCACATTATTATATTTGTACTTATAATACTATTTCACATGAAAAATATAAATAAACATATGTGTGTGTGTGTGTGTGTGTGTGTGTGTGTGTAACTAATAATTAGCATTTTTTTTAATATAATTAAAAGTACACATAGTTCGATCTTTTTTGTAAATTATACAAGTATATTAATTATATAAATAAATATCCACAAATTACTTTATAAAATAGATCTGCCAAAGAAAATAATTTTGGTTATTTTTTTTTTTTTCAAACTGATTTTGAGATGTCTTAAAATTTTAAATAAATACTACATAAATTTTACAAATTTCAATTACCAAGTTGCTAAAGCTATCTTAACTAAATTTTAACAAAACCATTTCAGATTGAGTATTAATACCAGCCTGTATTCTGTCATGCATACAATCATACAGATGACCAATACTATCCTACAATGTTTTTCTATGCCTTCTTGCACTTGTTGATGCAATGCAGCAAAATTTGGAAGTGGGCTAACTGAACAAGTCAAGCAACAGCCCATCATGTTCCATACTTGTTCAATGGTGAACAGGTCTAGTGATCATGCCAACTAGAGAAGTTTTCAAATATCTTGCAAAGCATGTTGAGTAGCATGGGTATCATGTAGGTGGGTATTATCCTGCTGGAACAACACATTACTTTTTTGCTGTAAGTATGGCAGCAAAGGAATGAACAATATTCTGGATTTGCATGGCACTGTTCAAAAGATGAGTGGAAATTGTAATTTATAGCACCCTACACCATGATGCCAGAGACTGGGTGTGTATCATAGGTGAATGTACTGTGGAAGATATTAATCCCCATATCTATGTTGTACATGCAAATGACAATCACCTGCATTAAGGCAAAATCTGTTGATATCACCTGAACACTAGTGAGGACAAATCTATTTCCTAGGTGACTTTTTCATGACAACACTGCAGATATGCAGAATGGTGTTAGGGTGTAAGTAAAAAAAAAAGAAAGAGGCAGGATATGTGTACATTTACTCTGATCTCTGCTGTGGATGCCATGCAATCTGCAACTGCTGCTCTTACAATGTGTCAATCTTGGCAAGCATTCAAAACACAGTCTATGAGTGCAGAAATGTTCATTTGACTACTACAGCAAACATCAAAGCCCCACTGATGTGTCATGATAAAAATATGCAGAAATTCTCCAAAATAACCATCCAGCCTCTCAAAGGCCCACAAATCTGATCCAAAAAAAAAAAAAAACTTATGCATGTTCCCATGGTACAACTTGCATTGGATATTTCAATAAAATTTATTACAGCATGCATCACCATCTAAAGCACATACACAGATGTTGCAATGCTATAAATGTAACTATGTTACAAGATAATAAAATTTTCAAAGTCATTGATTAAAATATCTACTATCCATAAGTATACCCAGGTCAAAATCAACATAGTCTTTTAGCTTTTTTAATTTTATTTTCCATCAGTGTATTATTCTCACAAATTTGCCATTTCCTGTTCACACTTCTTCATTTTAATATTCTACTTTTTCCTTGATTGGTTGCTTCATTTCTTCTCAAATCAAATATAATAAAAAGATCAAAGAGTAAGCAAGGTTTTAATCTACCACTCAAGCAATCAATCTGACAAAAATAGTAAATGAGAAGCTAACGTGTGAGTGAGCGAATGTTGTTCAAACCAAAGATTAAATATTTTTATTAAAAAAATATTAAATTAAAAGAGAGGTAAGCTTACTCTGGCTTATACAATTTATGGGATATACAAAATCAGGTTAACATGGAATAAAATACAAACTTGAAACAGTCTACAGCCTTGTACTTAACAAAAACTATAATTATTATTTTAACAGGATAATCAAATTGTTAATCTTTATAATAAGATATTGATTTTTCAAAACTGAAATAAATTTAAAGCAATAAATTATCTATTGACATGCACCAGGCATATAAATTAGCCAATCAAACTGAAAAAAAGCTCAAGCTGAACTGTCTTATGACTAACCAATGTTCCCAAGTCAGAAATGAATTCCATTATTGTCCATTTAAAAAAAAAAAAAATTGCAATTGAGTTTGCAATCAAATGAGCATAATTTAAATATTTGCTTTTAATTAACATAAAAAGCTTCCTAATCAGTTGATTCTGATTTTTTAAAGAAACAACTGCATTTTTAAAACCTAAATAAAAAAAAATGTTCTCAGATTAAACAATCACAAAAGCAATATATATTAAAATTATTAATAAATATCTCATATAAGACAATGTACTGCTTAAAAAAATTGTATAACAAATTGATTCCTAATAGAAATATTAAAACTAGAACTAGGATTCACTGATTAAAATTCTTTCAGTAGTTATTTATAAAATGCACATCAAATAGATGCTAGTTATTATTTAAAGGATGACAAAACAAATGTTTAAGGGAAGGAACAGGCACCTTAAACCTCAGACAAGATCTTTCATACTGTACACTTTATGCAATATGATCGAGTAAAACAGGTCACATGCAAACACACATTTTTTATTGACAAATAGAACATCAACTTTATTACTTTTACCAAAAATTAGAAAAAAAAAAGAAAGGTATTTATCTCAACATCTCTCAGTTGTCAAGTGATAAAAAACTTCTACCAAATCCATAGCCAACATTAAGTTATGTTTTTTTTTTTTGCATTTTAAGTAACTTATTCTTTTAGCAACAAATCCTTGTGCATAAAATTTACAATGTCAAATATGCATATCAGAATAGAGAAAAGTGAAACCATTTAGCACTGGCCAGCTAAGGTAGAAGAATTCTAGTGAGAGATAGTGAAGAGATGAGAAGGGAAAAAAAAACAAGTTACTACTCACCAAAGCATCAGCAATTGCTGCTTCTGAATCTGAACCTGGACGAAGCATCCGTTGGGAGATCACATTAGCTATATAAAGATGGAGGGGAGGAAAGATAAAATTAAACATCTGTTTAATATATATCAAAGAAGCTTTTTTTAAACAAATTACTATCTCGATAGATTATTTTGAGCACCAAGCATGATTTTAACATAAGGATAGAGTGATGTCTTCATACTTATAATACATAGCATTCAAGAAGAAATACATTTTACATGATGCTTGTAGAAATGGTAATGTAGTCTGTCATAAAGTTATAATAGTGAAGCACCTTTATGATATGTGTGCGTGTGTGTATATATATATATATATATATATATATATATATATATATATATATATACACACACACACACACGTTAGTCATACAAGGCACTGCAACTATGTTCAACTCTCATCAAGTGTTTCATTGTGGCCTTTTGCTAAATTAGGATAAGTTTATTAAAGTTACAAAAAAATTATCAACAGTTGAATTATTTTCCCTATATATTTCAGATAATTTTCTTGGTTCACGGTGTATATTTAGATATAAACTGTTCAATGTCTGAGTATTTTTGGTCATCATTAGCCATTATCAAAGACTATCAAGGAAAAAAAAAAATGAAGTCATATGAACAGATGAAAGCACAATACCCCAAAATGAAGAAACTGACATAACACAAAATAAACAAAAATTTTTGATAATAGCTAATGATAGCCAAAAGTATTCAGACATTTATATTTAAATATGTACCCAAAACCAGGAAAATTAATCAAAATAAAGAAAAATTAAATTAAAAAGTTGAACTTTCATTAGTCTTTAACTAAATTTGTGTGTGTATATTGCAACAATACAGAACAATTGAAGTTTATTGCAAAACAATTCTGATGTCCTTCCATGACGGTATGGAAGCCTGTGTCAGTTTTGGCAGTATGCTTTGATTAGGTTGAAAATGGAGTCAAGCAAGGAGATCTTCTGGCTCATACATGCTTTTTTTATCTACTCTGCAATTGTACTGCTTGATGTGTTCAAGGACTGCCATGATGCTATTATGTACAAGTCAACTGGCAAGCTTTTCAACATACATAGGTTTGCAGCAAAGACAAAAGTCTTTTTAAGCTTAGCGCACAACTTTCTCTATGCCAATGACTGTGACCTGGTCACACACACAAGAAGTTCATAGACTGACTATCAGGGGTCATGTAAGGCTTTTGGACTGTCCATCAGTCTTGACAAGACAGTGGTGATGTATCAACCTGCCCGAGGAATTCAGTATATTTATGTTGATGGTAGTTGACTTGGGGTAGTTGACAAATTTGTACATCTTGCTAGCCCCCTCAACAACCACTGCTCTCTTGACGATGAAATAGCGTTACAGATTAAGAAGTCCTCTGATGCATTTGCAGCACTCAAGGGCCATGTCTGGAGTTAGAATAGCATAAAAAAGGCAGACAAAAATTAAAATATATAATGTTGGCATTATGTTATCTCTGCTATATGAGACATGGGTAGTCTATCACAGACATCTGAAGATGCTGGAATGTTTTCATCAACACTGCCTGTCTGTGCTTGAAATCCACTAGATATCTCACACCAATGATACTGCTGTTGTACAAAGAGCCAATTCACCCTCTGTGGAAGTGCTTAAACACAAGCACAGATTGTGATGGACGAGCCATGTTGTCCACATGGCAGATGACAGAATTCCAAAACAATTAATGCATGGAGAATTGGAAATGGGAAAAAGACCACAGCATAAGCTAAAACTTTGTTACAAAGATTGCCTTAAAGAGTCATTATACAAGTGCAATATTGGTCTAGATAACTGGGAGACTCTAGCTGAAGACCGGGTTTCTTGGAGAGCTGGTATTTCTGATGGCATCAAGATCTTCCATGAGGCACCATGAAAATATGCAGGGGTTCAGAAGGGATCCCTGAATTGCCATGAAGTGCTAACCCAGCCATGTGCCCAATGCAATCGGACATGTCTGTCCAGGGCGGGTTTGCTCAGTCACCAGAAATCACTCCAACAGTCTATTGTATATGACAATTTTGTAATGGCATGCTTTGAATGCCTGACCTTCACTAAGATATGCAAGCCCAGGTCGGGCCTGACAAGGCATATGAAAAGGCACATTAGAAGTGATGATGATCAAAGTCAACTTCCGCTGCCTGGAGATGATTTGCTATGCCACATATGTGACAAGAAATGCAAGTCAATGGCTGGCTTTATGAGCCACTGTCATTCACACAACTGATGAATGCAGTGTTGTAAGGGAAAGTTTAACTGAAGGACTGGACATGTCAGTGATGGTCATATTCGTTTTGTGAGTTGACAACCACTTATAACAATACAGAACTATTGAAGCTTATTGCAAAATAATTATGGCCTCATTTTCAATATTAATAGTATATCTAACCACAAACTATATATGCTAAAATCAGTTTTTTATCGAATACTTATGAAAAGGTCAACATTAAAAGAAACACAAATACATTTGCTGCTATGAAATTTCATTTTCTATCAAAAATAAAATTATCAAAAACCTATTTTCAGCTACAATGTCCATTTTTCTTTAAATCATTTCACCCCAAGCAAGGTGGCAATGTCACTAGAACACAGGGAGTTAGAGAGTAAAGTAGAGAGAAAAGACTGGGTATAGAGGGAACTGAGGAAAGGATAAAAGCTGATTGAAGAAGATAGAAGACGGCAATTGATGTTTTGCATTTCAATTTTTGAAGATTGTAGTTATCAGGGAAGCAAGGAAATGGAAGGGAGTTCTACAGGTGAGAAGTACAAGAAAAACTGTTGGAGTAAAAGTGGCAGTTACATATACCTAATTCAACAGTAAAAGGATGGGACCTAGATGCCAATCTAGTAGCACACTAAAACACACAGGGGGAAAAAAAAGCTTGTCAGAGCAGTAGCCATGAAAATATTCATAGAAAAGACGGAGGAAGCCACATCACATCGGTAAAAAAGTGACTGAATTTGAGATGCCAAATCAGGATCGATTACATTGCAGATCCTTCTTTGGATTTTGTTATGAACCTCAAGATAAGTATCAGGAGCACCTGGCTAGATATGGCAATAGTATTCAATGAATGGCTAAATGGTAGATTTGTAAATGTGCAAGATGGACTCTGATGAGAAAAACCTTCTGGCTTAAGACAGTGGCCCAAATTTATTTGCAGTAGATGCAGTTATTGATTCGATGTAGCCGTTCCACTTCAAGTCAGTTGAGAAAGGGAGGGCAAGAAGGCAAGTGTGTTGCTCTCCATAAGTCTAGCATCAGTCATGCTGATGGTAGGCAGGAAAATTTCTCTATGGTAGTTAAACGAGAGCAGTTTAATTTTGAAGGCATTAAAATTTACAAGCCATTTCCTGCTCCAGTTAAGCACAGATTGGATATCCTTTTCAAGAGCAGCAGACCGGATGACTTTGGCAACTCTGACAGATTTGCTATTGAGACAGGAGTAAATGGTAGTGTCAGCAGCATAAACGCCTACTTGGGAGATCATTGATGAAGATGAGAAACCGTGTAGGACTCAGGAAAGAGACACCCATGTTTGTGTGTAAGGATTTGGAAGCAAGCCCATTCAAAATGTCTTTTATTTCATGATTTGATAGGAACGATTTGAATCAAATCAAATGCACATCAAGAAATACCATAGCCCTGGAGCTTATGAAGAAGACCAGCATGCCAAACCCTGTCAAATGCCTTTGAGATATCTAGAGCCACAGCTTGAGCTTCACTGTTATTATCAAGAGCTTGATATACATATTCAGTGATGGCCATTAGCACATCAGCAGTAGATCTGGCAAAACAAAAGCCATGTTGCTTGTCAGAGAATAGGTCATAAAAGGTAAAATACTTAACCACATCAATATTGATTAAAGCCTTGAATATTTTGCCAAAAAGCAGTAGGAGACTAATAAAGCAATAATTAAAGGGGGTCAGAAGGTTCTCCAGAGTTCTTAAAAAAAAAAAAAAAGGAACTACGAAGGAGGACTTCAGGAAAGCAGTGAGGCAATAGTTGTAGGGTTTGAAGAAACTGGAGCCAGCATGGGAGCACATTTCTTTCATACTATACACTTTAGGCAATATGACCAAGTAACATGGGTCACATGCAAGCACATACGATGGCTGGTATCCAGTCACCTCCACTTGCCTTATGCGAGTCTAATTTAGAAATAATGTCTGAGACCTGTGACAGGATTATGCAAAAATCATTCAGTTGAGGCTCTGTTCTAGGAGGGAAATCAAGTGTGGGTACTCCAACTTGAGTCAAATGTTGAGTTGGAAAAGAATTTCTGAGTAAAACATTCAACCTTATCTGCCGTAGATGTCAGGAATTTGAATTGATTAAAAAGAGGAGGGATTGAGGACTTGCTGTTGTTCAGCACATTCTTACAAAGCCAACAATCTTTAGAACCAAACTTGCAAGCTGCTATGTGCCATTTCATTTTATCAGCAAACAGTAACTTCACTTCTTTGAGGACATGCTTGCATTCATTACGAGCAGAGACGCTTATTGTAATCAGACATATCGCTCTGATACAACTGGAAGAAGTGATCCCTGTGGGCTATAGTGGTCGGGCATGCAGGCGAGAACCAAGTAGATGAATGCGGTTTAACTTAGTATTTCCTTACTGGAATGAAAGCATCAAATGCCAGCTTTCACCCAAGAGGAGACCTCAGACATGCATTTATGAACAGGATGATTAAAACTGCATTCCAAGGGATGTCACAAAGGAAGTTATGAAACAAGCCCTAATCTGCACATTGATAACAGAAAGATATGTTTTCAGACACTACCATATAAGAGTTGGCAAGAGGGCAGAGTTACAAAGTACAACATGAGAGCAGGATGAAGGACTGCTTTACTCAATCAACCTATTTTTCTTCTGTATATACATGTGTGTGTGTGTGGAAGTAGTAATGGTACAGCATTAGTAATTGAATAAATAATTGACTAGAAACACTGAAATAATGTAAGTTCATATTTGTGTGTGTGTATTTTTTTAAATCTATGGTTTTATTTCATAACATTTAAATGTATACCCTTTAAAAATTTGGCTAAGTCTGCCATATTTTCATTTGCTCCTAGATCAACTGATTTTGTAGATCAATTTATTTAAAAAACAAAACAAAGAAAAAAAAATGACACCAAGATGACAAAATACTCAATAGTGTGCATTGAGTTTTGTTTGAAGGAAAAAAATATGTATAGGCCATTTTGATTTAAAGTCAAATCTATTCTTTTATAAAGAAAATAGATTGATACTATTTGTGTGCAAATGCTTCCAGTATTGTTTTCTCTCCATTCAGTCCTAGTTTTAAATAAAAAAAAAAAATGGGATCTTTTGCTTACGCTTTTGCAATGTCGAAATTCTGCTTCCACTTAGTCGTCTTTCCCGACCTACAGAAGAGGGGAAGAATTGAAAAAAAAAAAAAAAAAGATATATCAAAAGTTTTGTACAAAAATAAACAATAAATATTTAAGATTGATGTATAAGAAAATTTATAAGAATGACATAAATACAGAAAACAATAAGAGAAAGATTTTTTTTTTAAATTTCTAGTCAGATATTCAAATTCTGAAGTCTTACTTTTTCTTAATCTTTAAAACTCAACTAATGAAAGCATAACTAAACTAAGTTATTATTGCACTAGAAAAAAAGAAAGAAAAAATCGCTTAAGTGTCATGCTTATATAATAAAGTTATAAAATATCTTTAATTTTTTTTTTTTTTTTTTTAAATATTTCTGGAGATGCTTCACAAACACTTTCAAGCTAAGAAATGGTACACAAGTAATTTAAGATTTCCTCTTAATTGAACAAGTCTTCTATTACATACAATGCAATTGTGACTTTTAAAACAAATTTATCAGAACATACCGTAAGTAGACCTACTGGGACTAGTTTCTCTACTAGTGCCTTGACTACGGGGTATTGCAGAACGTCGGGCTTTTGGTGTGCTGACAGCATGGTGGGTTGAATGGGAGGTACCATGATGAAGATGGCCCACCCGTGAGGACGGAGACCCAGAGCGACTGCTCGCTATAACAATTACAAAACAGATGTATCAATGAAATACATTCAAATATTTATCATTACACATAAACATATTAAACATTTACTTTAAAATTGAATATTTATTACGTCAATAATTGCAAATATTTATATAACTTCATCTAATTCAACAAGAAATGCATCTACCTCTCACATATTCTCACAAAGATAAAATACTATCAACAAGAAATTCTTACATAAAAGAAAATGTGAAAGAAACAAATTACTACAAAATTTACAAAATGCATACATACACACACAATAAAAAAAAATTAATTTTAAGGTATGCTATATTTATGAGAAAGTACTCAATATTAGGAATAAAGCAAACCTAAATATAAAAGTGGATATTGAGGTCAACAGCCAGTAGCAATAATCTGTTTCATGATCTGACAATTGCATTTAAGCATGAAACAAACTGTTGCCGCTGGGTGTTGACCTCACTGTTCACTTATATATATATATATATATATAATTGACATTTGGAAAAATGTTCATGAAAGCATGTTTCAAAAAACATCCGATTATGCATTTTGCCTGTTTGGCTTCATCAGATCAAAGACAAAAAAAGGTTTTGTGTGTATATGCATTTGTGTGTGTTTAAAATAATATTAACAAATACATACATACTCAACACATTTTTTCATCTTCGATCTGAAAAGGCCAAACAGGCAAAATGCATATTCGGATGTTTTTTTGAAACTTACTTTCATGAACGTTTTTCCAAATGTCAATAATTTATAACTGTTGGGATTATACATACATTATATATATATATATATATATATATATATATATATATATAAACACAGTGCATATTTTCTTTCATCATAAAAGATTACAAATTTATAGCAACCTTGTACTTTGAAAATAGAACAAAAAAGTCAATTTAAAAAAAATGAAAAATGTGTGCCAGACAAATGAACTGACCTCAGTCACCAATATTAAATGAAAACTATTCAAGCTAATTAACTTTGTATCCATCATAGGCATGTGTGATATGTAAGAAGGGTTTAAATATTTATACAATTCAGATTGATATTTCCGTTTTCAACAAGACAATCTCTACAAGTAAGCTAGTACAGCTTCCAACACAATGGACAAATATGTGCATTACTTATATTGTAGCAAATATTCATGTGTCTCTGCAAGTACAATAATAATCTAGACCAAGTTGAATTTTGAACACTGACAAGCAATACTGTTAGTAAACTATAATAAATGGCTTAAAATCATAGAAAGGTATCACTAATAAAATCTGTCCATTGAGTATTAAGTCAAAAATTATTGCAAATGGGCTTGATCCACACTTGGTATTTTCTATTATCATTGTACAGCAGATGAATAAAAAAAAGAAAAATGCTCTAATCCACCATCAATCTGTGGTAGAACAGAACACATGGTCAGTTTCACATTTGCTGCCTGTATACATATATGGAGCAAGGGCAATAAT